TGATCCTTTTCTACTTTTTAAGAGTTTGTCTACGTATCGAATAATTATGAATATAATCATATGAGTCCAGTGGCTGATACCTGCTCTAAATATGCGTTTTTTCACTAAGCATTCATCGTATTCCCATAAGCTAGGATAAACCGAATACGACTAGTTTAACAAGTAAACACCATTTGAAGTTATTATGAAATCAAGAAATCTTTTAAAATAACCGCGAAAAGTAGCACTAATTTAAATTAATCTGAATTCTCAGAATGGAGGTTTGTGGAGATTGTAGTGATTACAACAGTTTAATTCATGATTCGAACCAAGCTAGACAACCACTAGAAACCTGGAACCACTGATCGGCCCTTTTTGTGCTAGCGTGGGACTCCTCGGTTGTACGAACTCACGACCCCTCATTTGGGACTCAAATTCAGGAGCTCCGGTCTTGAATGCGGATTTTACTATCTAACTTTAATAGATCCATGATCTTGTGCAACCATTCATCCATTATCTTAGGTTGATACCTGTCTCTATCCGACACGGACTGAACTCTACTGGTCACAACTTCTCCTTCGAACTCCAAGAAATCTATCTTGTAGGCATGCACTAGTGAGCACATGATGATTATGATCAGAATAGTGGTTTTTGGCGATTGTAATAATTTTAGTAGTTGAATTTTCATTCGTTTGCGCAACCGAATGTTCTTGGTTCGAGTCCCGGATTAGAGATCGAGGATGCACACTGCTGAAGACTTCCAGGGTTTTAATGGTGGGCTAGTTTAGAAAGACTCATGAATCCAACTATTAATCCGAAAGGGTTAAAATACTAACATCAAGTTATTTGTCCGCTTTATTTCGTTTCATGTTTGGATTACTGTTATATTCTCTTCTCTTTCAAAATTACTGTCATCTAAATGTGATACTTGTATTTCATTTTTTCCAGTTTGGACATGATTGTATTATTCTCATTCCTTGTACACTGTCGTATATTTATTAATGAACCTTCTTTAACTTATTTCAAATCAGGATTAAATCGGATATACAGTTTTGGTTAAATTGTTTTCACTTTCTCCGCTCCCCAACCTATCCGATCATTGGTAGGATGGTTTCTCCTCTCTGCCTTCAAAACAGAATTCAGTCACAAATCAATCCCATATGTCACAGGATTCATGGTTTTACTAATCAGCTTATCTCGTCAAAGTTGTAAACTCAATTAAAACAACTATCTCTGTATCTATGTACTGACGGTAGACTAGTAAACAGATAAAATAAAGGCATAACGGAGTGTGTGTTTACAGCAAGTACAATCTATCAGTGCTTGAAGAAGTGCAGCATATGTTGAAACTGTAAACCATTAAAGGTCTGTACGTTGAGTTTTCTTCACCAAACCTGAAGGTCTTCTATTCAATTCCCTCTGGGTTCGTGGATGTACAATGCTGAGTAGTTCATAATTAACTGAGACGGCTGTTTTGAGCTTCTGAAGAATGCAATTCTTTGTAAATAACTACCTATGTTCTCAACACAGAAATGATTCATAAAATGGTCGATATAATGAACTTTTATTTTGGCCCATAAGCCGGAACCTTGAAGTTTAGTTCTTGGTCATCATGGATGCATTAGTATTAGTATACATAGCCATCTTTTAACTGATTACTGGAGTTTCTATAATCCAACTCATTACGAATACCAATTTATTTGTTTCAACTTAGATAAGAGGACGAAAAAATCAGTTTTTCTAGACGATAGACATAACAACGAAGTAACATTTCATCTCTCATTTCTCCCACGTTTTCCCTACTATTTTATGTCCAAAATCATAGTGGTGTTGTTGTTACGATAGTTAATGAGTGCTTCGGCGAGACTTTAATTTATGAACGAACCAATCCGATTTAATATAACAGATCTTGGATTTCGGCGCAAAATTCATTTATCAATTTGGCTAAATAATGTTTTGGGATTTTAGTTTATCTCGGTTCCTGATGAAAATCCTAGAGTTAAGAATTAACCCTAACCATCAGCTGTAAACCATAATAATTATTCTCTACACAGGTTTATAACCCTCACTAACCAGAGTCCATCTATTTTAAAAAGGTGAGTACAGCTCCTGGGCGAAATGAAGGAAGCTTCAAGAAGTTCATAAGGAGTCGAAGACATTCCATCCAATCATCTTTTGAGAGAAGATTTCAGAATGTTGATATGTAGCCTCCCGATTGGACAAATGTTAAAAACCACTGCTCACGGAATGGATCACTGCAATGCTGATTTTGCTTTTACAAAAAACCATAAATACCTAAGTGTTTTGTACCATGTTTGACACTCTTTGGAATAAAATTCTTCCTCACTCATCTTCTGTCTTCTCACATGCGACTTGGAGTTTCCCAAGTAGTACGCGGTATGTCAAGAACTCTAAGCTCTAGATAAAGCAGAAACTTAAAAGTAAAGTCGTATACTGAGGCAGTTCACTCAAAATGCAGATATCCTCCAGTAATAACTGATCAAAATCCAGTCGCGAATATCAAAAACTAGATAACTAGATATCATCAACCAAATACAGGTTTATATACTCGGCTTTATATCACACAACTTATATAAACACGAATAATATTACCTGATCATCTAAAGCATAAAAATAGGTACCTGCGATCTGCTAGTTGAAAGTTAACCACATCAATACAATACAATATTTAGTTATTTAGTATTTTAGTTCTACATATTTGTGGTGTGCGCTACCGATATCGACAGATATAAGTAGTATGTATGATCAATAGAAAGTGTAATGTCTGGCAGCACAAGGTTAAGAAGATTGGAAAGAAGAGAAGAGAATGAGAACGAGAACAGAGAAGGATTAGTTTGGAAACGAAGAGACAATCAAGTCTGAGAAAAATGATTAACATTTTACAAATGAAGTATTTACTGTAGGGTTCTCAGATTCTTTTATGATATTCTGTAATTTCGTGTTGAAATACATTCGATTGTCCTAACTTGTGCTCTCGTTCACTACATTCGGTGTCGCGACCAACCAAGAGCAGAGAAGGATACCGTCCTTCGGGTGCCGTTGGCTGTGACTGGTGCTTCCGAGGGAGAGAAGCGTTGGGACATGCAGCTGCTGGGCAGACATCGGATGTAGATGGCTCGGCAGGTCGCTGGAGCTTTGAAAGTAAACGCGCCTCAGATTCGATATTTTGACGGAGAGTGCGACACGGACTGCAGAAAAGAAGTGGCAGGGCGAGCAAAACCACCGCAAGAACGATTGCTTTAAAAGGGAGACGAGTGTGGCGTGTGCTACTGATGCCAACAGATATAAATAGTATGTATCATCAATCGAATTTGAAATGGCTGGTGGTAGAAGGTTAAGAAGATCAAAGAAAAGAGTATGAGAACAAAGAATGGTTGCTATGGCAACAAAAGAACAACGAAATCTGAGACAAATAATTAACATTTCACAAATAAAGTATTTACAATATCGTTCTCAGGTTCTGTAATTCTGTATTGAATATACCTTTGATTGCCCCCACCTATTGTTCTCATTCATTACATATTTACTTAATTTCATTTTATTTACATTGTATCATCTCATATATCATATAACAATAACATCAAAGAAATAGCATTTTGATCATTACACATTGTTTACTTTACCATTATTGGTATTTACTTTATTGATTAATGAAATAAGAATGAACCTATTTCATTATGATGAAATTAACAAATAGGATCTAATTGGATCTAATAAAACTTACAAACTACATTTCGATTTTTAAAAAAAGTCAAGACAAACAGAAACGTTTGAGGGATCGTAAGGTCACATCATCATTTCAGTACCTGATGCTTATGTACGATTGGTTCAACAGCGAATTTTAGAGAAAACGTAATAATTGAGCGACTACAATAAGTGGGACTATGAGGAAGTTCTTTAATTTGTGATTGTGGTAGTCAAATGACTTGTGAACCTTGTGTAGACTACCGTTTGATAGAATAGGAATTTTTTCTCTCTATCCAGAATAAGACTAAGGCAAATTATGATAGTTGTTGCGAACTTGGTAAATCAGTTGATGAGTTTGTTAATCTTCATCGAATGAGATGGTTGGGTCACGTGTTACGTATGCCGAACACCGATTACCACGACAAGCAATGTTAACCGTTGCTGGAGATGGTTGGAAGAGAATTAGGGGCAGCCAAACCAAAACGTGGCAATAAATTCTTGTCTGAGCCATGTTGGTAGATGCAGACTACTTGGTTTGGGTCCGCGTGACTATCTTAACCAATGGTTGGAGATTCTTGGTGACATGGCTCAGAATCGGTCACAATGGCGTCAGTGTATACACTCTCTGTCTTCCTTAAACTAAGAGATTAAAATCGCTTCATATCTTTCTTTCTACGAACTAATTCTTTCTTCCTGTACTGTTTTTTTATTGCAATATTTCTTTTATATATTACCACCTCTGAATTAACTACTTATATGAATCCGGTGTTCATCTTGTTGTGTTAATGAGGTATGGCAACTTGGACAGATGCATATATGTGCCTGGTCCTACGTTGTAGCTGACTGAATGACTGTTGCGAATCGTGTATTCAATGCACTAGTAACATTGGATGCAGCCAGGTACTACAATATATACTGATGATTGGAGAGCATACCGATGCCTACATAGACTTGTTTATGTACATCGTGTCGTTATCTACAAGTGACATTTCTTGGACCCCACAATCGAAGTACACACAAAGAATACTGGAGCGATGTGATCGAGGCTGAAAGTGTTTTTACGTATTAATCATGACTCCAGAAGCCGACTATTATAGAACCATATGGATGATTTTCTCTACTGTATTCATTACAATTTTAAGACCTTTGAACCTCTTTCTAACTTTGACAAATTTATGAACCATATCAAAGAAGTGTATTCAATTGAATTCTTTAGTTTTGTATCATATATTTTAACTGTCTTCTGATTGGTTAATATTTCTCAAGGTCATATGAGATTTATTCAAAGGTCGTCGATAAGTGATAGTCTCGCCAAAAAAGCAAAGAAATTCCATGAATATTAATTTAATATTAATTGTCATTTTCATTCTATTGAATCGATTGAATGGTGAATCCCGTAAGTTGAATAGTGATTAATCTTAGATGATGTTTTATGATGAACTTACATTATGCATAATAGTGATTTAATTAAGAGAATAACATTATTTATTATTTGTGTGAGTGTTTGGATATTGCCCAGGAGATCAAATTGAAGTAAGCGGTTTTCGCTGAGGGACTACAGCTGGAGTCTGATCTAAAGATCTGATCCTTAAGGTAGTGGAGCAATGTAAGGAGATGCAGTCATACGGTAGCCAGTGACCAATAACAAGTTCATACACCATCTGTTCCTTCAGGATTATGGAGGCCATGTGCACAATTAGTTCGGAATCAGGATTTTCTAACTCCTTTAGATAGAGCACCGGATATTCGCTTTTCATTGTCTCAATTTTGTAAACAACGGTAATGACACGAGAAGGCAGTGAGTAAGACTTCCTTGTGAGTGGTTGTGTGCACATGGCCATGTGAGGGAGCGCGGACTCTCCTTACTCTCGGCCGTATTAGAGCATTTGGGGGTAATAAATCTTTTGCCTTTTACAAACAATTAATATTTAGTAAATACACTGTCTATGTACAATGTTAAGCTGATTAGTTTGACTAGACAATGGATTACTCGTTTAGTTTGATTTGATACAGAACCACTGATCGAAAATCTTCTACCTTACTGACCCATGACTTAAAATGTTTCTTATTATTTGATGAGTTCAAATTCTATTTTAATTGTTGTTGCATTACACATTGACAAACTCCAGTACTAATGTGAAGTGATAAATATGGCCTAAACCTTTATATATTATCATTTAAAATATTGATAGCAAAACATAATTTTATGAGTGTTATCACTTGTTATGACTAAGTCATCTTCATACTGTATAATGGTTACATGTTCTTTAGGAAAGCAATGGTTTTATGCATATAGACATATGAGAGCATTTCGAGAGGGAGAGCTGACTTTCCCCACCCACAACCATACCAGGGCATTTGGAGGCAAGACTCGTGTCTGAAAAGGGATTGGAATCCACAGCATTACATTATCGCTGATCCTCGTATATAATCGTCGACTTAAATCGCGTTAGTCAATAACGGAATTTAGATAAGTCAATTAACGAGAATGGCCTTCGAATACATATATTTTGTATGTAAAGTGAATGCGATAGAACAAAACGAAATGTCGCGCAGGGAGGATGGCTGGGAAGCCAACTCCATTTTAGTCAAGCGTTACTGAATATTTATAGTCAGACAAAATAAAGCTACAGACATGTGATCAATGCGATAAGAAGGGCACACACATATACGCTCATATGAAAACAATCAAGACTAATAAGCGAATAATTGACAAGGTCAAAATATGGCTCAAGTAAAATGAATAGAATGGGATGTCCGAAAGCTAATATAAGGTATATGGGCTTGGCATAATAACTGACACTACAGTCTTTCTTTCCAGTTCTATCCAATTTTTGTACATCTTTCTCATTTCAATCTCCATTTCTCGGCGTAATATTATCTTTGGTCTTCCTCGTCTTATTTGGCATTGAGGATTCCATGTGAGGGTTGCCTTGTGACGCAGTTAGGTGGTCTCCTCAATGTATGTTCTATCCACTACCAGCGCTTCTTGATGATCTCCTCCTGCACTCGAATCTGATTTGTTTTCTCCCATGTTAGGTTGTTGTTGCTGATAGTGTCTAGTCAACGGATCCGAAGTATATTGCGAAGACCACTGTTAATAAACACTTGTATCTTCTGGATGACGGCTTTCGGTGTTCACTAAGTTTCCGCCACATACAGTTGAGCTGTCTTGATATTTGTATTAAAATTTCTGAATTTGGTGTTGATTGACAGACAGTTGTTTTGACTTCCAGACGTTCTTCAATTGTAGACAGACTGCTCTTGCTTCCAGGTTAACAATGCTGGTCTAACATTGATTCATTCATAATATCAATCTAAACTTAACAATCTCCACAACCCTATACTGATGATTATCATGTGCTCACTAGTGACAAGCTTCAAGATTGAGTTCCTATAGTTCTAGTAAGAAGCCGTGACCAGTGCTGTCCAGCTGTCTCTGTTTTGAGGCATTTACTCACCGAAGACAATGGTAGACGGTCGGACGTTGTCGTGGATTGGTTGAAGTTAAACATTAACGCCATTAGATGCCAGAGATCGCTCGCAAGACTGAAGGTTCTGTGTTTGAGTCTCGTGAAACGGGATCGTGGATGAACACTGCTGACGAGTCCTATACTAGGGCGAAACGGCCGTCCAGTGCTTCCAGGTTTTCCATAGTGATCTAGCTTCAATTGACTCATGAATTTAACGATTAAATTAAATGTTAATAAATTAAAAAAGTCAGCCTGTATTCCTCTAGGGACACTACTGGTCGGAAGCTCAAGTAAATGAGGAAAGTTGGTGGTAGTTTTTACCAAAGAAAATATTTTAAACCATTTACACTCGACTTCTGGAAGCTGAAGGGTCTTCGTGTAGAAGAGTTATAATGCTCATTATAAAAGCCGAGGTCTTCATAATGAGATGATGCATCATTAATTTCGTCCACAAAACCTATGGGTTGTTTTAGAGAAATCTAACTTCTTTTCAAGTTGAACTGACACTGAAATTTTTTTAATTAAATTAAAATAAAAAATGAAATAATTTTTTGATTAAGTTCATGAGTCGACTTATGTTAGACCACCATTGAAAACATGGAAACACTGAACAGCCGATTCATCCTCGTATGGAACTTCTCAGCAGTGCATATCCACTATTTTTCAAGCGGGATTCGAACCTAGGTTCTTCGATGTTGCTCACAAACGCTCAACCTCCAAATCATTGGGAAATCCCATACTAGAACGAAACAACCTTCCATTGCTTCGAGGTTTCATGAAAATCTTCACAACTCTATACTGATAATTTTTCTTGTCAATCTATAGATATCAATAAAACTAATACAAGTGAGTTTGTTCACTGAAATAAGTTTTCATTTAAATGCTGAGTAAATCATTTGTATAATCGTTACAGAATGATTACTGTCGAAATATACATCCTAACTATTCTCATATATTATCATCGACTTATGGGTACAAGCAGGTACCAAACACATATGCACCACACAAATCTCATTTGATTTGTGTGAGGGCTGTGATACTGCCCGGGTACCCAAACCGAAACAGGATCATTGACTTAACTCGTATTAGTGTATAACGGAATTAAATAATTCAAATACGAGAATGGATTTTTGAAGACATCTATTTCATACAATCATTGATCAGAACAGACAATCAGAGAGGTGGAGCAAAGGAAGTGAAGAAAAGAGAGAGAAGTGAAATGATGCGCGGTGGTGAACGCATGTAAGCCAACTCGATTTCATCAAGTGTGAATCGATAATTATAGTCACACAAATATAAGTTACAAACATGTGATGAATAGGGTAAGCATGTACATACGGTCATAGAACAACAATGAAGTTTGATAAGCGAATAATAGACAAGGTTGAAATGTGACTTTAGAAGAATGAATACATTGGCCTGTCTAGAAGCTAGATTGAGCTATGTGGGTTTAACATGCTTGGTTTAGCATCACAGACTGATCTTAGTTGGATAATTGTTGAAAACTAAAGAGCATTGGAAAGATGTTTTGTATTAGCGTAAGACTGATCAGTGATGTCCATTCATAACACTATCTCGGATTAAACTCATGACCTTCAAGTCCTACAGTGAATACTTAAACTTAAGACTAACGAGCTCCCACTCATCTGTTTATATACAAATTGAGATATATCGTGAAGTGACTGATATTGAAATTGTCGGTTACATCCCAATTCGATCGATATAATTCAATAAATGATCATCGAAATTGTAAATATAAATCAATAAATTGTGCTAAATGTAATTTCTTTCAGTGTGTTATTATTCATTCATAAGTACATGGGATAACCCTATTAAGGATCTTGGTACCTGTGTTAGTTGTACCACATAATTATACTATAATAATTAGGTCATTTAAAAGCTTAGATATTACCTAATTCCCCTGAAAATCAATGTAAAATTATCCTCTTGTAGAGTATACGTATAATTATGCATGAGCATGGAACAAATATCACTTCAGATATTTCTACTGTTTTCTGCAATATCTTTCTTTCTGTTTTAGCTACACTGAAAAGTAAATTAAAAATAAATGAAGAGTAGCAATTTCTTTAAAAATTCATTTGATGTTCTTTTACTTTTATCTTCCTATTGTTATATAGGACTGCGATCGATCAGTCTTTCTTCTATTGCCTTAGGTCACAGGCTTTATAAACGAAGATGGATAATGACTAGCAGTGGAATCCAGGAAGTGCGCTTCGTCCTATTTGAGGCTCTTCGACTGTATGAATCTACATCTCAGAGTTGATGTCTACGATAGGACTCGAACTAAGTACCATTCTCTCTTAACTCCATAGCGTTATCCGATTGAACAAGCAGGGGGGCTATCAGGACTCAGCAGCTAAGTGGATAACGCAATGGCGTTTGAAGCGAAAGGTACTAGTATTCGAGTCCCATAGTGGATACCAACTCTGAGATGTAGGTACATCCAGTCATAGAGTCTCAAATAGGACAAAACGCACGTCCTGGATTCCACTGCTAGCCACTATTGATCTTTGCTTGTATAGCAATTTTTGTTTTCAACTATTACCCATCACTGTGTTCTAATGACGTTATTAGAATATGGTCAAGATGAATGATCAATTAGTTAGATTATATGAATGTTCCTCTCATACATATCTTTACAATAAGGATCTAGTGATGTAGACTGATTCCACAAAATATCAAGATTAGTTACGTACAAGTTTTGCGTTTAATCTTATTGACCCCCATAATATCTCTTCATATATATAATATTGTGGTATATGCTACTTATGTCTATTGATAGATATACGTAGTATGTAACGCTAATGGGAAGTGGAAAACTCGAAAGCAGAAGGGTATGAAAAAAAAACCAGAAAGGACCTGTGAATCGGAAGAATTATAGAGAGTGTGAAAGAAAAACATTGGAAATTCACAAATGAAGTATTCAGTATATGGTTTCCATACAATACAATCGGCAGACCTCATCTGTATTCTGGTTCATTTTAATATTAGTAAATTTTCATTATTAAAGACTGAATTCCGATCGATTTTATTCTGATATATATATATATATATATATATATATATATATATATATATCCTATTGATCGACCAGGGTGCTTGGCACCTGTGTAATTGCGCCACAAGATTCAGCTGTACTATTCAGATTGTAGCGTTAAAGCCAATATGGTGTCTGGTTTTCCTGTGAGGCGGGATTGAACTGTACTGCTCGGTTTATAATGTTTAAGCCTGGATGGTGTCTGGTTCTCCTAGAAACAGAATTGAGCTGTACTGTTTGGGTTGTCACGTGAAAGTCTGGATGGTGTCTGGTTCTCCTGAAAACCTATGTAAAATTACTCTGGCCCACAAGGGTATATTATATAACTATATATGCATTCAATACAGAATGCCTCAATATAGCTATTATTTTATAAATTTCTAGAGAATAGATAGAATGTAGCTAACATTTGAATTCAAGACGTGTATTTCGTCTTGTTTTGTACTCGTCAGCTAGACGTACCTGTATCTTGGTTACAACCTCGTTTTTAAAAAAATCAACAATAAGATAAACCAAACCGTTTACATAAATGAGCGACTATCTGGAATCACTAGCTAAGTGGAAAAACTCAATAAGGTATTTGATTCGAATAACAATGTGACCATCAACACTTTCATTCAGATAGTTTCAGCTGAAGATACACAAGCAAGGTGAAATGTACGTTCTGGATTCCACTCTTAGCTATATTTCTACTATCCCATGTTAATTTGAGTGTGCTATTCGAAATATATACCGTGATTAAGTTCTATCACTATATTGTATCGATTGTATTTTACTAGCTCACAGTACACAAACAGCCAGTGAGTAACCTTCGATTAAACTACACCAGTTGACTTTTCACTGAAATATTTCTGAAAATCATTGTATATAAATTGAGAATAAATCTAAAAAGAACGTCTTCTTTTTTCTCAGTTCCTATGGCGACAACTGATCTAAGTAAGTTTATTTTACCATTTTTTGTAATTAATAGCTTGGATTATACAGTTGTTGACAACTTCACTCCACATGCAAGTGACTATCTGAACTCAGTAACTAAATAGAAAAGATAATATTTTCAGTATAGGGGTTGTGGAGATTGTTAAGTTTTTGATTAAAATCATGAACCGATTGATGTTAGATCACCGTTGAAGACCTAGAAGCACTGGATGGCTGTTTCGTCCTATTGTGAGACTCCTCAGAAGTGCACATCCACGACCCCAGTCGCGGGACTCGAACCCACGGCCTCCAGGCTCGCGCGCGAACGATTAACCTACTATACCACTGAACCGGCATCCAATGGTGTTAGCGTTAGGGTAGAGACAGGTATCTACCTCAGTACAGTGGAAGATAGCTCTGTGGTACAATAGGTTAAGCGTTCGCGCGCGGGACTGGAGGCCTCGGGTTTGGATCCCGCGAGCAGTATCGTGGGTGCGTACTGTTGTCGAGTCTCATAGTGGGACGAAACGGCTGTCCAGTGCTTTCAGGTTTTCAACGGTGGTCTAACATCAATCGGTTCATGATCTCAATCAATATTATTTTAAAGGAAAGGTACTAGGTTCGAGTTACAGAGTGGACATCAACTCTGGGATACAAGTATATCCAAATTTCATTAGTAATGTGAAGACGAGGAAGATAATGATTGGTTGTTTGCTTAGTCCAGCTCGCAGATTGTCTGACAGGTATTAAATGAGTTATGTCTTTCCCTAACCTTATTATTAGTGTGATTGTTGTCAGGAGTTTTTTGTGGAGTGAAAATATACTTACGTTCTAGTCAGGCTAGTCATGTGTTCTTGAACTCAGTTGTGTTGAAATTCTCACACAATATATTCTCCAAAGAACATGACAGTCTAGATACTAGTTCTTCTGTTAATTATTGCTACAAAAGTATACATCTCCATTTATGTGGTAGTTTGTTTACTGAACAATTTGTGTCCGAAAATATTATAAAAATAGTATAAAAACTACATGCTTTACTTCAAGATTAGCTTTGGAAAGGTCAACCGCTCTTTGTTTATACCCTAGAGGAACCTACCACACCCCAGGAATCTAAATGAGAATAGATAATAAATTCCATACATTCAACAGTGGGATCACTCAAAATTTAATTAAGGGATACACAACACTTTAAAGTGATGTCATATAACGTATTGTATCAAATCAAACTCCAACTCTGTTCCTTTCTCGTTGAAATCTGATCAAGAATACAGTTCCAACATTTTTTGTTCCTGAATCCTTTAACGTGTTGTTGAAGTGGCCAGTTTTATCTGACTCCAAGATTGTATAAATGTTGCTGTCACCTATTCTCGTATATAATCGTCGACTTGATCGCGTTATCCAATAACGGAATTAAATAAGTCGAATAACGAGAATTGATTTGTGAATACATATATTTGTATATGAAGTGAATGAAACAGAGCCAAGCAAAACGACGCACAGGGAAGATGGCTGGGAAGCCAACTCCATTTTAGTCGAGCGTTACTGAATATTTATAGTCAGACAAAATAAAGCTACAGACATGTGATCAATAGGATAAGACGGGCACACACATATACGCTCATATAAAAACAATCAAGACTGACAAGCGAATAAATGACAAGGTCAAAATATGGCTGAAGTAAAATGAATAGAATGGGATGTCCGAAAGCTAAAATAAGGTATATGGGCTTGGCATAATAACTGACACTACATTGTAACGAACTTACTTACTTACTTACGCCTGTTACTCCCAATGGAGCACAGACCGCCGACCGGCACTCTCAAACCCACTATGTTCTCGGCTCTTCTTTTTAGTTCTATCCAATTGTTGTTCATTCTTCTCATGTACGTCTCCATATGTGTTATTTGTTCTTTCTCTCCTCCTTTGGCATTGAGGAGGTTGTTGTTGCTGATAGTGTCTGGTCAACGGATCCGAAGTATTTTGCACTTGTATCTTCTGGACGATGGCATTCGTAGTTCTCCAGGTTTCCGCCCCATACATTAGGACTCTCTTGACATTTGTATTGAAAATTCTGATATTGGTTTGAGTTGACGGACAGTTGTTTTGAGTTCTAGATGTTCTTCAATTGTAAATATGCTGCTCTTGTTTTGCCGACCCGTGCCTTCACATCTGCATCAGATCCACCGTGTTCGTCAATGATGCTGCCCAGATATGTGAAGGTTTTCACATCTTCCAAATCTTCTCCATCAAGTGTGATTCGATTTTCGCATACTATGTTGTATCGGATAATCTTGCTTTTTCGTTTGTGTATGTCGATACCTACTGCTGCTGAGGCTGCTGCTACACTAATCGTCTTCTCGTGCATTTGTTGTTGCGTGTGCGATAGAAGAGCCAGATCATCTGTGGAGTCTAGATCGTCCAGCTGCATATTAGCTATCCACTGTAGCCCATGCTTCCACCCAGATGCTGACGCCATCATATGCTGTAACATGTTCGACATAATTTAGTGGAAAATTGTCAAGAACCTGTTTGATTGTAGAAGTAAAATGTCATTTTCTTATCAAGAAATATCAATAGAGTAGAAGGTAAATTTTTAGTCAACCTTCGAACTTATCTGGTTTATGAAAGTTTAACTAGATTAAGAATTATCTAAAGAATAAAATAACAACTCGAATTTCTTGGCCTGTTTTTCTACAATCTTGCCATTTTCTTCTTATTTTCCTTTCTATATCTACTACTACATGAGACGATTGGTTAATCTCATATGAACTATCAATAAAGATAATAGTTCTTTATCAGGTTTATAAGTTCGTAGTAGAGTTGAATTCATGAATCGATTTCAGCTAGACAACCATGGAAAACTTGGAAGCATTGAGTGACTATTTCGTCCGAGTATGGGACTCCTCAACAGTGCGCATCCACTATCCCGTTCGTAGGATTCGAACTTAGGATATATCGATCTCTCGCATGAATGCTTAAATGCCGTCCAGCGCATCTAGTTTTTCGGTGGTGATCTTATTTTAATTGACTCATGAATTTAACTATTAAAACAAAAACTTATCTTGGAAAAAGTACCTTCATTAACTCTATGATGACATATCCAATAGCAATAATTAAAGTGAACATGAATACATTTAGTTAGTGTTTCTTCATTATTTCTTATTTCAAATCAGAAACACTTTCTCAACTTGCTTATTCTCATTTTTCAATAAGTGAAAATTATATCAGATAATCACTACTAATATGCTTTTATAGAAAACGTTTTGTTTAAATTAATGATTGTGTTATAACTATTGGCATTGTGCCCCTATTAATATACAACATAATGATACCGCCAATTAGAGAACAGTGAATTATTAGATAGAAGTCTATCTGAAGTTTGTGCTGATGATGTCGTTCAGGAGAACGATGAAAGCTCTACAACCAAACAATCTGGCTTAGAAAACAAAACTTCATCAAAAAAACTGAATTACCGACCGATTCAATCATGCATAAACCCGTACGTGTAGTCTAGAATCTTTATCAATCCTTTTTCCTTCTTAGCCCTGCCTATTGAGCCTAGAAACCTCATCTCAGCTACCACTATATGAATCATGCATTTCAAATATACTCGGTTTATATACCAGTTAAACAGACCACATCGCACCACAGAATGGAAAACAACAAAATCTAGCCAAAAGTGGCTGTCAGTGTGGGAGACTGTAATTAATAGACTGGGCATAACTGAAGAACAGTAAATCATATAATAATAGAAAAGCCCCCAAATACTCTGGTACAGCCGAGAGTGGGGAGAGTTCGCTCTCCCTCTTGAAATACTCCCACACAACCACGCGTATATAGCCTATGCCAAAGAAGTCCAACTCACTGCTTTCTCGCACCACGGGTGTTGTTTACGAAATTGAGAGGACGAAAAGCGAATATCCGACGCTTTAACCGAGTTAGTGGACATGGAGAGTCGACCTACAGGAGTTGGAAAACCCTCATTCCAAACCAATGGTGCACATGGTCCCCAGTATCCTAAAGGAACAAACGGTGTATGAACCAATCGTTGGTCACCGGCTTCCATGGGACTGCATCTCCTCACGATGCTCCACTGCCTTGTGGACCAGACCTTCATGTCGGAGGCTCCGGGTGTGGCCCCCTATATATACGTATGGCCATGTGAGAGCATTTGTAGGGGGAGAGCGAACTCTTCCAACTCTCGACCGTATTAAGGCATTTGGGGGCTAACTCCATTCATCTATAATACTTAATCAATATGATTACGAATCTGTGTTACAGTTTTATTGAATTATGTAATCATCAATAAGAGATTTATTTCTATGATTAATATTTATGTAATTTGATCAAATATTTTTGTATTTTTCGTATTAATCATTTTAGCTACTTCAATAAAAGCAAAAATGACAACAACTGGTAAGTAATGCCCCAAATGGACTCCATAAATAAGAATTAACATTTCAGACAAATAACCAACAATTATTCAGTGGGAAATGAAGGCGAATTTCATTTCTCGGTCTTCAGTTAAACAGATGCTAGATGAAGTCTAAGGTAAATACCACTAAGCCAACGTACATGCATTCCAGCAAGAAGCTAGGTACATGCTTTATTCAATCGTTGAATCCTAGGGTAAGTACCACTAAATCAGCGTATATGCAGTCCAACGCGAAGCCAAGTGCATGCTTTATTATATATTTTTGGGTCATGATAATGATCCTTCCGTAAGTTCACCTACGGAAACATTGTTACGACTTTTACTTTTTCTAAGTAATCAACTTAGGTCATCTTCTTAGCATCAATCGAGCGGAAAAGCCACTTAAACGACACCAATCCAACGACCTCACTACACAGCGTTGCGTACGGACACGTTACTATTCTAATCGGTTGGTCATGGAGAAGTGTTATGTATGTCAAGATCTTCTTGGTGTTGATCAAATCGTATCGATTATGTTGTAATTTAATCACTAGTTTAGGTGACTCGACATTGAGTTTACCATAGTGAGGTATAAGGTGGTTTGAGGAATCCAACAGGAAACACTGTACCTAGATATACCTTACCACCGAGTGACAAAAAAATACGAAACCTACGCCTAGGGTTCCTTATCAACTATCTTCAACCATCTTACTCGTTCTTACTTCATTTATATTAGATTGAAACTAACAATGTAAATCAACCCATTTAACGGATCCTTAAATAATGGCTAATCTTAAGTTTTCTCTAGTGGCATTCGATAGACAAAGTTTCCATTGAGGTCATAAGGTACAAATGTTTTAATATAGTACTTATGGACGATGATCCATAATTGCCCAAGAAAAAAAATAAAAAGGATGGGCAGCTTAGTTTAATTGTAAGTTCCATTTTGGCTTCTTCATTAAATTCAGAATTCGATCACCAAAGATTATCTAACGATTAACTACTCTGTAGTAGTTTCATTTACCAGTTATTAATGAAACTTTTGTCAATAACGTTAAAACTAATAGTTCTGTTATAAGAGCATCTATTGACTCAATAGTTTAGACACACCATAATGATATGTGCCAAATGATTCGAGACTTGAATAGAAAAGGTCTTTCTGTCAATTTCTTTGAAACATCTGATAACCGGATGTTACCACAAGTGTTAAAAACAATTGAACCGACCGGTAAAAGATTATGAAAGACATTTTCACTTCTTATGTTACTTACTTACGCCTATTACTCCTAATGGGACGTAGGTTATCAAACAGCATTCTCCAAACCACTCTGTCCTGGCCCTTCATTTCTAGTTCTACCCAACTGTTGTTCATTCTTCTTATGTCTGTCTTCATCTCTTGGTGTAATGTGTACTTTGATCTTCCCTTTCTCTTTTAGTTTTGAAGATTCCGAGTAACATAGATAAAATTACTTTCAAGATAATGAGTGCATTTGAGTAGTCGAAAGACAATGTGATTTGATTTTATTATTTTTAGTGCCACCACTTATCTTGATCTGTAAGTTGTTCATTTTTGCTATCGAATAATTTCAAACAATTTGTGGCATCTTTTTTGATACCAACATCTACAGTATGGACAGCGCCACAATAAAATACACTTGAACAAGATGGAGATGTTTCAACGAAAAAAACTTTCCTTATCAATAATATTACCTGTTAGAGATGTGTAATCGTATTTTTAGGTAATTTTGTAGACATATATATTGATCACACAAGGTGTACTCTTTCCAAATATACATCCAAGAACTCTCTAACGGTTCAGAATTAGATCGTATAAACAATAAGTAACTAGAGATTGATTTATAATACAATGACACCATTTTGTAGTATGTTCCTAAGTGATAGTCATCTACAACGTAGGACCGGTCCGAGTTGCCTTACTGACCGTTGTTGCTACCTTGACGTGGTGATCAGGCTTGTCTATTGTGGTGAATCAATTGAGCCATACTGGCTGGAAAAATCGTTCCTCAAGGTTCTACCATGCCAGACAGGTCGGATGAAGAACAGTAAGACTAAAAGCAACAAACCCAAGGTCCGAAGGCGAAGTCGTACTGCTGGCTGTACAGAGGTGTGAAGGCAGTACAGTGTTTCCTCCGGACCACCAGAGTAACAGCGATGCTACCTTCCCACAAGGAGGTATGGGTTAGAAACGGTCTGTCCAAAAAATGCACACCCCACGTTATCCCACGGATATCCGTCTCTGGTGGTAAGGTCTCAACATGTACGGAGCTAACACAAAAATTACCCATAAAAAGGTCGTGTGTGACCGACCTCAAGCAGTTGTCCCTTGGGCACTGCGGTCATGCTCTGAGGTCACTGAGACCACCTCTAATCGAATTTTCCTTTGAGGTACCTCCAGAAGAACCCCTCTACGGTGTGGGCGACCGGGAAGTGATAACCACCCTCATACCTATAACACCACTCAAAACCACTCTACTAAATAACAGTCAAAAACTTTATTCATAAAAATATATTTATCAAAGTAAGATAACAAACCAAGGTCAAACTACCACTAAATTGTATTCAGTAAAACTATAAAACCTATACTTAGATTATATTCGGTAAGAGAATTTCAATTCTTAAGAATCCTAAATATATAAGGCAATAATTGTACCTAACGAGAATGAATGAGGCGCCAAATAGATATGCATAACATATATCATTCGATTCATGTGTGAGCTGTGATACTGCCCGGGTGCCCAGGTGGTTTTCTTAGGGGGCCAAACACGGAGTCTTTAACCTAAAGGGCTGATCCACAAATCAGTGGAGCAACGTCAGGAGATGCAGTTCCAAGATAGCCGGTGACCTATGATTGGTTCATACGCCATTTGAGTTGGACTTTCATAACGGTGGCTGTATACGCGTGGCTATTGAAAAGCATTTCGAGGGGGAGGGTGGGTTCTCAAAACTCTCGGCCGTACCAGGGGACTTGGGAGCAATAACAAATTACCAATAGATTTACCAACTTAACAAACATTTTCAATTCAAAAGTTAGGAATTTTTTATTAAAGCATTTAACAATTACTTAATCTAACAAGTAAATGCGAAATTAACGACATCAATTGATTCTTCGAGTTCTAGTGAGTGTTTAATCTTATCGAGTGTGTAAGTGTCATCCCCCAACGATGATGGTAGGTGGTTGCATTATATCACGAATTTATCTAAGTTGACCACTTTAGGCATTATATACCAGCTCAGTGGTTTAGAGGTAAAGCGCTTGTTGAGAGATCAAAAGTCCTGGCTTCGATCTCCGATGGGCACGTAGAGATGAACCTCGCCGAGTCGCCCGATATTAGGGTAAAAAAGTTGTCCAGTACTTCTGGGATTTCATCCGTTGTATAACTAAATTTTGTCCATGATGTATTGTCAATCATGACAAATTGTATGCTGTTAATTTAGACTGGAATGATTCTGGTAAGTGTCCCATGACCAGCTGAATGAAATTATCAATCTCGTTTAATAATTGTTTTGTTTAAATCAAATGATAATCGGTCTCGTCAAATGGTATTATTGTATAGTTAACTGATTGATATAACAAGTGAATTAAACCGATTAAGATCACCAAAGTTCAGTGTTTTCCCCAGAAATAACATTAGTCAGGATTCACAAATGCCAACAAAAGACTGATCAATTACAGTCCTAAATAGCAATGGGAAGGTTCAAGTAAACAACGACAAGTGGATATAACTTCACCTAATTGCACAAGCAGGTGACTATCAGGACTCAGTACTAAGTGGATAACACAATGGCATTTGAAGTGAACGGTAGTGGGTTCGAGTCTCACAGTGAACATTAACTCTGCGATGCAGGTATATCCATCTGACGAGGGCCGAATAGGATGAAACGTGCCTCCTGGATTCCACTGTTAGCCATTATCCATCTTTGCTTATAAAGCTTGTGACTTAAAGCAATATCGAATCAGTTCGCACAGAATGCACATATGCTAACAAGAGACTGATCAATTGTAGTCTTAAATAAGATACAAGTAAACAACACCAAGTGAACTTAGTTAATATAGTTCCAAATAAAACCTGTCATATAGACGAATAGCGATACAAGTAAAGTGAATTAGTTTATTTAAAAAGGATTATCACATTTATGAAAACATATACTTTCTTAATACAGTAGACAAATTAGTATTAAAAACATAACAAACCATAACAATGAAGCCAGAACATTAAACATAACACTGACGAAGAAAACTAGTATTTAGAATGAAATTCACTGAGTTGATGATTGCCAATTGTTTAGAGTTATGGGCGAGACTCTAATTTATGGGTGAGCCAATCAGAAGTATTTTAGAGATCTCAAGGTTACGGCGCCAACTTCAGTGCTAAATGTTAACGTACGATCGATTCACAGGGAATTCGGTACAAAACGTGATAATGGAGCGGCTATAACGAATAAGACGGCGGAACTATAATTTGTTGATGAATCAATCAGGTATAAGATAATAGATCTCGGATTTTAACGCGAAAGCCTTTCATCCATTAGGCTAAATAAATTTCTGGCATTATAGCTGATGTCAGTTTGTGATGAAAACCCTATATATAGTTCCTAACTAAGGTAAATTACGAAGATTATCACGAACTGGATAATAAAAGCACCAGTAACACCGGATGCAGCCAAGTACTACAATATATTCGGATGTTTGGAGAGTGTACAGACTTGTACATAGACCTGGTTATGTGCATCGTGTCGTTATCCACAAGCAGCATTTTGTGTACTGAACAACCGAAGTGCACACAAACAATATTGAAGCTATGTGGTCGAGGATGAAAGAATTTTTGAGACTTTATCATAGCTCCTGAGGCCGACTATTCTGTAGCCATATAGATGATTTCCTCTACTGCATCCATTACAATTTTAGAACCTCTAAAACTCTGTCTAACCTTGACAAGTTTTTGAACCATGTAAAAGAAGTGTATCCACTATATTTATATCTATGGATAAGTGATTTGACTAGACAGTTCATGCTACGTACTAAAATAATAAGTAGCACATCTTAATTAGCTAAATTTTCACTAATCATTCAACACTATTAGTTAACATTCACTCATCAAGCAAGTTTCATGTTCTAGATTTTAGTAGACAAGTCAGTACAACTATCGGTATTTCAGTCCCAATTTAATCCATAAACTGATATGTCATTTTCAGGGGCTATTCATTCCTTTTCTAAAATATTCATGCAAAATCAGCATATCACTAGTGATAATGATTCGCAGTATGTATCATAGACTTGTTGGATATAATAAAACAGGTATAGCACAGCTTCCAGCTAACCGACCAATTCATTACCTTCTGTATGTTATGAGTGAGAAGGTAGTCACCATAGGGTGAGGAGATAAGCAGGATGTGATGAGTATGTGAAACGAACGAACGAGTGTTTGATACTGTGGGGTAGGATGTATAAATGACTGATTAACAGACTGACTGGGTGAACGAAGGTGGAAATAATTTAGATGTAAGTATTGTATTGGGATAATGATTAGAATGAGTGTAATAAGGTTGAAGTCAATGAGAGTGTGTTGTGCTGGCACGTGAGAGAGCAATGAGGAAGAAACCACTATTTACCCAGTTGATGTTAAGCCACTCTCGTCATAGTCGACTGGATAAGTTTTACAGACACTCTCCATCCAGTAGACATGGGCGGGCCTAATCCACTAGCCAGCTATCAACAACCACACATCTGGTGAACGAACAGGCTAACCACAGCACCACCACGAAGTCGGCCGGTCCCCGCATACATATAACCATATACTACACATCACCAAATTCAGGCAATAAACAGTAACCATAAGCACAATATCATCAATGCCAACACTATCAACTGGATGAAACCTCAGTTCTTTTTATCATCAGCCCATTGTCCTTCAAATAAATCCAGTTATAGTATAGGTAGTTTTAGTTAGTATTTTCCTAAAATAATTGAAAATAATCCTTGAAAAATTCATCTTTTCATTCATTGAATTTTCTCCTTTCCTAGAATCAAGAAGTCGTCCAAAAAAATGGATCACAATGTGGTCAGTGGTATTTACAACTGTTTTTATTATGTCGTATCAAAATATTGATTAAATGTTAAGTAAACAAAATGTATAATTGTTTATCAAAACGAATAGTATATCAAGAATAAATAGAAATACTTTATTTATTTACGCCTGTTAACCCTCTTGGAGGAGCATAGGTCGACCATCAGCATTCTCCATCCAACTCTGTCCTGGACAAATCTTTTCCAGTTCTTTCCAGTTATTATTCATTCTTTTCATGTCTATTTCCGATTCCCAACGTAGTGTGTTCGTCGGCCTTCCTCTTTTCCGTTTCCCTTCAGGATTCCAGGTTAGCGCTTGCCTCGTGATGTGATTTCCGTAATGTATCTACTATCGACTTCCACCGTCGTCTCTTAACTTCCTCATCAGCTGGAAGTCGGTTTGTCTTCTCCCACAGTAGATCGTTGTTAATGCTATCCGGCTTACGGGTATCGAGTATCTTGTGTGGACAATTGTTTAAAAATAATTTTACTTTTTTGATGATTGTTGTGGTAGTTCGCCAAGTTTCAGCTCCGTACAGTAGGACTGTCTTGACGCTCGTATTGAAGATTTTGACTCAGCTATTCTAGATTTACTATCGATCCCAAGACCGGGCAAAGAAGGAGCGTTAGGCATAGGTTTGTCAACCTCATCCAGTAGGAAAAAGCCTTGCTAAAAAAACGCTAAATATCAAAAACTAATGCTCAACTCTCATATGAAATCCAATTCCTGATATTTTTGATTGTTGGTCGGAAGCATATAGAAAAATGGAAACTTCTTAATTAGGAATTGCCTAGTACTAGTGACCAATGATTGCAAATGTTAAATAATGTGACCTTAAATTGGTCGAAGTGGGATAACAGTACTGGTTTACAAGCATTGTTTAAATATTCAGTTAAATATCACTACTGAACTTTTCATTCTTCGATATCGTTTGTTGCACATGTCCAGTAATGCAATGGAGTTGAAACTAATTTATCATAACTTCGTTTAACTGTACTGAAATGAGTATAAACGACATGGATCAACATACATTAGGATCAGTTCCAAGCACTGATGGACTAAGGAAACCCACTTAATTTAATGAACAAGAAAATAGTAAGTCCCTTTCCAAAATGCTCAACCTCAATAACCATCAGTGAAGTAATAAATCGGAGATTGATAGACTAGTTTGTTAGATGAAACACTTCAGAATCAGAACACTGACTTGGTAAAATTATTCCACAAAACAAACTTTATTAGTATTATAAGTGAATGAGCGGTTAGGACTTCCCAGTAGTCCAGAATATGGGAAAATATTTCTTTTTGAGTAAACATTGCAGTACCGAAATCTGTCCATATTGATGTTGATGTGTTTAGTGACTTGGAAAACCTTGACAAGTCCCCAAATCAGAATACGGTGTGATGATTATAAGTATTTGAATTATAGTATAAACTAAGAATCCCAGAAATAACGCAGTTGGATCAAGAAGTACTAGATAAGCACGAACGAATGTACCGTATTTAGAATTCAAAATCAAGCATTCAACAGGAACACAGGCATCATTAGTTCATTAAAACACTACACAGGGTTCAACAGGAACGAAATTATACTCCAAATAACAAGGGTAGATGGAAGTAGGAATCACAATAAGAAAAATCATAGCAAATTTATAGTGTTAAATAAAAAGATTCCAGAGTACGTTCTAAGTATCCACTAGCGCTGATTGGATAAGACGTAGCCAATCAGAGTGCAGTAACACAATACTGAATGGAACACGCTTCAATCCAACCTATATCCTGCTAACACTTACCGATGATCTATACAGACAAGTTTGTGTTGACGCATCCATCATGGATGATAGAGTGAAATATATCTTCCAATATCAATAAGATGCTAGTGACAATGAGTAACTGTAAGTACTAATATTTTCTTGGTTATACAACCGTCTATTGAAGAGCATCCAGTGTGACCGTAATTTCCGCGTCATGGTTGGGTTGGCACGTAAATTTCGATTGGATGAGAAAAAACAGTATATTTGACTTCCAATTATACAGTTAATCAGTCTTATGGATTTCAGAACGATGCCGACAACAGTTGTATGACAAGAAGATGAAGGATACGTTGAATAGTTAAGGTATGTTCATAAAATGATCAGTTGGGAATATTTAGTTTGGCATGTGTAAGTAGGCACGAACAATCAGTGTTTTGTTCATTCCTGTTGAACAAATACTTCATTTAGTATGTACATGTCTATTGACAGATACAGGTGGATAGATACATTTGTAATTCTGAATTAGCACAGTCAATCGGAAAACATAAGAAAAAGGTATCACTGATCTGACGAATACCATCGATAATTATTTCCTCTTTCTTATTGTCATTGATTAGTCCAAATAAATAGTATTGGTTAAGCAGAGAGCACGATGCACCTATTGTTTACTGATTACCTGATTTGATGATGAAGGAGATTATGAATTGTTGATAATAGTGTATGTGTATAATTTGTTACCAACGTAGTATGTCATAGTACAGATGTTGGTGGTTTGCATGGAGTTTTGTTCTCTGAGCTGGATGGTTCGGTCTTCGAGCTTTCATCGTTCTTCTGAACGACATCATCACCACAAACTTCTGATAGACATCTGTCTGAGCTACAAATCTCCACCATCTCAAGATGTTGGTGGTATTGTGCTTGTGTTGAGTGTATGTGAGTTGGTAATGTGCAGTATATGTTAGTATCCATTTTTAATATTATTATTTCACTCGTATACACTAACTTCTATTCATTTTTGTTGTTCTCCCTTTTTTTAAGTATACGCACTTTACATTTTCTAACTCTTCAGAACCCCATTGCTATTGTGTGGTGAATAAGTATTCGGTGCTCCCTCCCTTCTAAGTATAGCGGATAAAGGAAGGTATTTGAAATTATGAAGTATCAGTGTTCCTATTCAATTACAATTGGATACAGCATCAGATATCATGTTATTCTCTAAAATGACAAGGAATATAAAGGGTTGTTCATAAGTATTATCAACCGAGTACACAGTTCGAAATGCAACCAGAGACATATTAAAGCTTTTTTGGAACAATAAAATTCTCTGTTGAATTCTGAGATAGCTACTTTACAGGAAATTGTCATTTAACAAACAAACATGATTTGGACCTTATTGGTATAGATTAGATAAACATACAAAATCTATGGGATGTACCATTGACTGAATTATTTACCATGAAAAGCTCAAATAGTCCTAGAGATCTGCCTATCGTTCATGTAACTAAAAAATCCATAACGAGAGAAAACCTTTTCAGGAAACATAAAATAGTTCCAAAACAAGTTGGAACACTGCGGAATCGGGAAGGTAAAATCATACTTACGACAAGATGTGAATCCCGTTTTCAGCAAATAATGGATACTATGATATGCAACCTGGAAGATGTAGCAGTCTATCTGGATGACATATAGTTGTTAGTTCTACTGCTCAGGTGTAGCGTCGGTTATTATGTTAAGCCCATATACATTATTCTAGCTTGAGTCACATTCTGACCTTGTTATTTATCAATCTTGACTGTTTTTATATGAGCACGTAGGTGTGCGTACATTTCTTACCCCATTACTCATCACGTCGGGCTCACCACTTTTGTGAGGCCATTTATTTTGTCATCTTATACCGAACAATGTTGTCGAAAAGGCTCGGGCCACTAAAATCGAGAGCCCCACACAGGAACTAATGAATCTGTTGGACGTTGTGCTTACAAAAATATCGCAGACTGGTTTCCATTTCCAAAAAGAAAAGTACGAATCCCAGGTCGAGCCTGTTAGACAACTTGAACATATATTTGATAAGAATGGTCGTCACCCAGATCAAGATAGTATCAACGCTATCAAAGACATGTCTAGACTGACAGATGTTACGTTGCTGAGTTGATTTCTGGGAATGATTAGATATTACTGTATTTTGTAACTTATTTGGGTATATTACGGCACCCATTAAATTAATCTTTGATGGCTAACGCAAATGGTAATGACAAGAGATTCCCATGGGTTAGTGAAAATCTGGAAAACTGGAACTGTAATACGCAGAGAAGGAAGATCATTTATGAAGTTGGAGAAATGGCGACTGGACAGAGGGGAGACTGAAAATGATATACACGTGGTTATACCCCTAAACATACCAACTAAATTGGATAAGGAAATTAAAAGGAATCCAGGAAATAAGTACGGGTTGACAACACGTCCAAGGTGGCCGCAGCGCATCTGACGGAAACCTAATGGAATAAGAACAAATCCTTATTTCCAAGCTATTGGCTACAGTTCCCATACACAGCCACTTCTGGCTTGATTTTGTAGTGTCGGTTACTATGTGAAGCCCATGTAACTTATTCTAGCTTCTGGACAGTTCAGTTTATCCATTCTTCTTGAGTCACGTTTCAATATCGTTGATTATTCACTTACCAAACCTGATTGTTTTTATGTGAGTGTATATTTGTGTACACTTATCCTAATCATCACATTTCTGTGACTATAAATATTGATTACCGCTTGTTTACATGGAGTTGTCTCAACCGACATTTCCACTGCGCGTCCTTTCATTTCGCTTCGTTCTCTGCGATTCCCTGATTGTCCGTTCCGATCAATAAATGTACAAAATAAATGTATTCAGAAATCCATTCTCGTATTTGATTTATTCAATTCCGTTATTCACTAACGCGATTTAAGTCGTTAACTATATACGAGGATTGATGATAGGTATATTTCAATCAAACATATGATATAACTGGAATCAGATCACGAGTCAGTAAAATCGCTTATAGTTTCTATTTTTTTATTTTATGGTGAAATTCGGTCTGGTGTACTTGTATATATAAACAGCGTATGTTCGAAATATAGGATGAATATAGTGAAGGTTGATATTGTGTTCTGAACTGAACAATCAGGCAAACAAGGTGAAGCGAGAAGCTACTATATCGAGGACCAATGAGGAACAAGAGTTGATTCAAGACTAGTTGGCATATCATTGGTTAGCTCAGGTATAAAAATAAGAAATCGATGTTGTGATTGAGATTTCGTCACATGATGTTTGGAAAGGATATAAGTCATGAAAAGTGGCGATTAGGACTTTTAGGTACGAAAAAGAAATAATAGTAGTAGTTAATGCAAAGAGTAACACATTTTCGATACATTCTCAAGTAAATTTAATGCATCAAAATTTTCGGTCGACCACTACAAAACACTATCCAGTAATGTCATTGACATCACGAAGTAGTAGACATCGAAATGTGTCGTACGAAAATTTTCGATTCCTCACCCAACCACTGAAGTGTTCATTTACAATTCGCTCATTACTATCGACCTCGATGCTACTCAAAGCTAGGTAAAGATTTCTAGTTGTTGAGTTTACTTTGGTGACCATATCACATTGTGGCAGTCTATATTTCCATATTGACTGATATTCATTCATTGTCTTGAATGAATTCTTTCGATATGGCGTCACATTGATCTACCATCTGTAGATGTCTGTTGCATTCTCAGCTGGGTTAGCTTTGCAACTCATAGATCGGCATTTTAATCAGTCTGTCAAAATATCAGTAATAAGTCAATTTCAGAACACTTGAGAGAAACACTTTGTTACTTTTGACTAATAGATTATGTTTGTGATTTTCAACAAACAGCTTCTAATATCTCTGAAATCTTGGTCAACAAATCTGTACTTTTCTATACTGACTAGACGAATAATCATTGACTTGATGATTGTGCACTGTTTCATGAACAAATATCCTTCGGAACTTTACACGCATCGCATCAGTTGATTAATATCAATTGTTTAGGATAATATATTTGACTTCATTCTTAGCTTGTACTTCAATTTCCTCACACTATGAAGATGTACAGTATTTTCTTTGAGAATATATATCACATGTGAACAATACTTGCTCAATCGTTGAGATATAAAAGACTTCTTATGTATAAAATGACGTCTTTTAAGTGGTGGATAAGAACTATTAAGGAGTCACATAACAGAGTGAATCAAATAATCAACTCATCTTGATTATTAATGGTTATCCATCTATAAACAGCCGGTGGTGTGAAACTTAACAATCTCTAAACTACCCTCTCATATATATATTGCAATGAATACAAGTTGAAGATATGTTACATATTATGTAAAACAATACAAATTATTGACAGTATAACCAAAATCAAACCACCAGGCGGTGAAACTATAATTTATGAACGAACCAATCACGTATAAGATAAAAGGTCTTGGATTTTGGCACGAAATTCATCCATCCATTTGGATAAATTAAGTTTTAGCATTATAACAACTGTTGTCAGTTCGTGATGAAAACTTTAAATCTTAATTCTTAATCTTAACTATCAACTGTTAATCATAATTCTAATCCCCTACAATGTTTCATAACTCTAATTTAGTTCTAGTTATTACATGGACATTCTCAAGTTACGTTTAGCGTCGTTCAAAGATCGTCCATAAATTATTATAGTCTCACTCGCAGAGCATATAAATTTTCGCATATAGCACAACATAATAATTATCATCACAATCGGTTTTGTGGAGATTTTCTAGAAATGTCACTGGTTGAAATCATGAGTCGATTGAAGCTAGATCACCATTCAAAACCTGGAAGCACTGGACAGCCGTTTCGTTCTAGTATGGGACTCCTTAGCAGTGCGCATCAACGAACCCGCACCCCGCGAGATTCGAATCCAGCACCTATCAGTCTCGCGCCAGGCGTTTTACCAACTAGACCACTGAGCCGGCCGACATCCAACGGTGTTAATGTCTAACTTCAAACAATACACGAACTTACGTCCTGGGTTCGAATCTCGCGGGGTTTGCGATCTTGGATGCGCACTGCTAAGGAGTCCCATACTAAGACGAAACGGCTGTCCAGTGCATCCAGGTTTTGAATGGTGGTCAGGTTTCAATTGACTCATGATTTCAACCATTGAAATAATAATTATCATTTAGAATACCAAATATCAAAATATCATGAATACAATATCATGGTCATTATATTAAATGAACACCATAGCAACTCATTTGTTCAATAGTTTATTGTTTGAAAGATTAATATAGTGATTTAAAACAAAATAAATCATGAAGAGATTATTCAACAGTCATTTACAACATATTCATACTACTTATTTATACATAAATAGTATAGAAAATATTAATAAATTATATTACATAGTAAACAAATTAAGTATGAAGTTGAACAAGTTATCAAAAAAAATAAGTTTATTCATTTACATGAAGAATACCTGCATTGATAGCTTCATTCATAAGTTGATCAAGTGTTCTATATTGTGCAAAAATAAAACAAGAAAAAAACAATTTCAGTATAAGGAGATTTGTGGAGGAGATAGTAGGATTTTCATAGTTGAATTCATAAGTCGATCTAAAGTAGACAACTATTGAAAACATGGAAACATTGGATAGGTGTTTCGTCCTAGTATAGGACTACTTGGTAGTGCGCATGTGACCGAAGGTCGTGGGTCCGAGTCCCACATGTGGGATCATAGATGTGCACTGATGAGGATCTTCATATTAGGACGCAATAACAGTTCAAGGCTTCCAGGTTTTCCGATGGTTGTCTAGTTAAGATAGACTCGTGAATTACACTATGAAGAAAGTATTTCTTTGAACATATACGATATATGTATATATTGAGGAAGGGATTGTTAATCGAGAAGTCTAACTGGAGTAGTCAAAAACTGATTTTCTGAATTCGTGAGTCATGTGTGAATGTAGCGTTTTAAATGGCTGATTTATGTGAAAACATCAAACAAAATTTAGATACTTACTATGCATTTTCTCTTCGAATTCGCCAGTAAACACAGGAATAAAGCGTAGCTTGCCTTTGTTTTTTTTTCAATAGTTAAGCTTAAGGATCAACGATCGTTAGGAGAGAAGTGTTAGATGGAGTTTTGTTCTCTGAGCTGGATGGTTCGGTCGTGCTTTCATCGTTCTTCTGAACGACATCATATCAGCACAAACTCCAGGCATAAGTGTTAGATCAGTTAAAGAGCACTTTGTGTTTCATTTATTCATTGTGTTAACTCTTGAGCTCAATGTTTTGATTTGTATGACTAGGGGTAGTCTCTAGAAAGCTCTGAAACTTATAAGTAAATTGTATTGGTGATCGTGAGGGAATTTACTGACTCTCATGTTGTGCCAACCTATCACAATTTGTAAATATACACCTTGCTTACGAACGTCGATAAGTACAAGGTTTAGATCAATTAATCGCATTTGACGCCACAAATATTATTAATCACACAAAACTAAAATTCAGAAACACAAATGAATGTAAAAACACATCAAACTATAAACAGCTGGTTAACACAGTACACGCATTACGTAAAATATTACAAGCAACGCTTAACATCTCGACCGCTGAGCTGGTAATCCAATGTTGCACAAGTCTAACTTGTGAGAAAAGTACCCATCTGACACAATGGAAGAGAATTGCACAAAATGGTGAATTGATTGAAGTCATACTTGCACACGAATGGATCTCTACCCAGTGGTCTAGAGGTTAAGAGTTTTCATGAGAGGTTGAAGGTCCTGGATTCGACTTTCAATCGTCGTGCCGCAGATGGTCATTGATGAAAAGTCCCATATTAAGAGGAAACAGTCGTTTGGTGCTTCAATGTTTTCAATAGTTTTCTAATTCGGATATATATATATATATATACCTGTCATAGGAATAACATTTTTCGTAAGGGTAAAGGTAATATGAGCCAGTTCAGTCATACAATGCCAAGTACAACGATACTAGAATTGATGGTTATATGCTTATGTCCTAAAAAGGGATAGTTTTGTGTTGTTGAAATAAAAATACATTTACGGTCGACAATTTTAATGAAAATGTAACGGAAATCATTGATTACAAAGTGTACAACACGATGTACTTTGACCAAACCACGAGTAGTGCTGCTAACCTTCTACATTGTCCGGACATTCCATATTATTCCTCTGGTTGTCAGAAAGGGCATCAACACCATAAATCCCAAAGAATCTCGACTTTCACCAGGAATTGTCATAACTTTTTAAAATGATCTTTCAACTCTTAGGGATAGAGTTCAAAAGCTTTGAATGATTTTTCCTGGTTGACACTTTTCAGCGAAGTTCTCTTTTATGAGATAACGTTGCTAACCTCATACCTAACCTACCCTTTTTCACATGGGCTAAGGACCAGCAGTAACCTGAGAAAAGCTCCAGGCGCAGTTCAGTTAGTTAATCGCACAAAACGTAGAACGTGGGACACACACATCCGTTAATGTTACCACGTCCATTAGCACGATGAGATGAAATTGTCAGGGCGAATTAAAGAGCAGCAGATGTGGTAACAGTATTAGTCATAATAGAAAAGACTAGGCATTGAAAATACAATTTGAGAAGAAAATATAGATGGGCGTGATGAAGAAGAATTTATAAAGTGACTTATAAAATTAGGATCTAAGGGAAAACAAAGAGCTAATGCATCCATTTCGACATTTTATCTCTAAAACCATGTCTATGATCAAAGTTAGTTAAAAATGTGGAAAGCTGACAGCTCTGATGAACACTACTTGAAGTTATAAGTTCCAGTGATAGTTTGCCATAAAGCTCTGACTCAATCAGTAGTGTTCCAGAATATATATGTATTCGAGATAGTTAGTGTTAAACTGTGGATATAAATGCATCTACAATCATGAAGGAACTGACACTACCCTGTAACATTCGAACCTGTTTGACGTTCAGTATCCAAGTCTAGAATGATAAGATCGAACTATTTATTAGTTTTCACAACAGTAGATAAACAAATAAATTACTTGCGTAATTGAATAGTTCTATTCCGTTCCGCTTCAAATTTGTCCTTAATTACACGTGCCATAACCCGAGGCAAATTCCATAGACTAGGATTAATACCAACTAATTGATGCTGATATAGTTCTTCCCAGATATCCTTCAAAAAATTGAATAGACAAGTCAAATAGTCATTTATAAAGCCTTCCGGACAAGGAAGAGAGAATATTACAAAGAAAAAATTTACTGCTAAATAATCTACACAACTGAACATAACCGAAAATTAATTAATAGGATACTTCACTGAAACTGAAGCAATTTGGATGACTCTCCCGGTCTCCACATTGTACGAGCATTACATATATTTATATTAATGGTTGCTCTGGTTGTCAGAAGGGGCGTCAGCCTCGTGAATTTCGAAGGAACTCGGCTTTCACCATGAGGCGTCATACTAATACTACTTTGTATCATTAGTAGGATGTGTTTAGAGTTATCCTGTCGAAAGTATTAGGGACTGGATCTTTATCGATCTTTGTTGACATGTGAATATCCTGTGATGACTGACTTAATACAGTCACTATATTACAACTTATTGTGATAGCCACAATTTACAGATTCTAAACACTTCTACGTTGGTGTTGATCTCACACTGTGCTGATGTGCAATGTGGGCAACTTCGATAGATGGACATATGTAACCAGTTCTACGTTGCTTTTGACTAATAATGGATTGAAAACAACACTGCAACCTACAAAGATACAAAATATGGAATCAAGCGGTTAATAGCTGATGACTTATGAACTTTCTCTTAGCAGTTATATCAAATTAACAATTAATTTACTCACTAATGCTTGTGCAGATAAACAAGGCCAACATGCATAACTCCCATCAATTATGGTTGTTGATTGAGAATTATCATCATTTTTTTGACCAGAATAAAATGGATTCTGTAAACGACTAGTCACAAATGGTTGATTGATGTATGACCTTAGGAAAAGATTAAAATACACACTCATAATATATTTTGACATTATAAAAAAGGTGACGATAGAAATGACAATGATTATATGTCTACGTCTGGAAGGAGAATACACACAAGTAATATGGGACATGAGATATTTGTGAATTAGTTCAAGTTGCTACACCATATCAGGACAGAAAAAGATCATTACAAATCCTAGAATAGAAGTAATAACAGACTCGGTAGGGACAATAAAAAAAACATAGCGAACAGAGATGATTCCGTAAAAGTGAATTCAGGGAACAAAAAACAACATCTAAAGGACAATAGAGTGAATATATATATGGCATTGTAACTGAGTCTCAACAATATAACGCAACATCCCCAACCATTGGTTACGACAGCCACCCGGATCTACATCACGTACTATGAATTTACCTAAACACATCAGTTCAATGGTCAATGACTACATTTACTGTTGTCACGTCTTGGTAGCCCCTATTTTCTTCACAACTTACTTCTATATTTATAAACATCATACGACAAGATAGGTAGTGGTTACACATACGTAATGGATGTTTAGACCACCTCAGTTGATCAAGATTCACTACCTCATCAATCTATTTGCCACCCTCACTTACTACCCTGAGTTTAACCTCGACATTGCTCAATTAGTGGTCCCGAAATGCTCGAGTCATGCTTCAAAGATGCCTATGACCCAATACTAATAGCCTACGAATATGCTTTATTCCTTTAAAGGATACTTTATAACCATAAAATAGAACAGAACAAACTACTGCTCACTAAACTCGACCTTTGATAATCGAGAAAAGATTAGTGGACGACTAGACAACGAAATAACACAATTCATTTCAACCACTAATAATTATAAACTATTAAACTTAAAAAACACACCCTTTACAATGATAAAAATAAGTAGACTGAGAAAAGTAATTAGAAATAGGAAGGTCAATTGATTTGTGAGGATTGTTTGAATCATACTGTTGATGCTAAACATAACAAATATTCAGTTTGTTTTGGCCAGTGTGCATCCAGTGTGTATAGCCTCGATATTACTATTAAGTATAGTTGGATAGTCCTTAACAGTGGAGTACAGCATGACCGTTCTGTCGTACTTGTGACTTGTTAACTGGATGCACCTGTAATCCAATGCTGATGTTCACATGGGGACTCAAGTCAAGCATGTTTCTCTTTAAACGCCTAACGTGTTATCCACTTAGCTATTGAGTCCAAATAACCACTGGCTTATCATTAACATCAGCATGAAAATTTAAACAACCTCCACAAATGAATCAAAATTCATTCATGTTGCACAAGCCAATTGTTGTAAGAACTTAGTAGCTCAGTAGATAACGCGACGGGTGTTTGAAACGACAGACATTGGATCCGAGTCTCGATATACACATGGAGACTGAGGTGTCCACAGATTCTAGCCAATATCCAATTATGCGTACAAAAAAGTCAAGTTTGAAATAATTTCTACCCAACAATGCTTATAAAGTACCCGTTTTACGCTAAAAATCAGTTTGCTCAAATTATATCCTTTACGGATTGAGAATAAAAAATTATTTAACGAGTTTTATATCTGATCCTATAAAAACCAAGTGTGTATAGGAGAGATGATGGATATTCAGACGACCATCATGAGTTAATTGTAGATTAGAAAAACAAAATTAAAGCATCTCAACAAGAATGAAGAGTTGTAATCTGAAATACGTATGGTATGGTAGTAACACAAATATATTTTATTATTTGTTTTAACACATAAATACTGGCACAAGGGGGCACCAGTTACATATGCGCCACACAAATCTCATTTGATTTGTGTGAGGGATGTGATACTGCCCGAGTGCCTAAACAGAAGCAGGTGGTTTTCTTAGGGGGCCAAACCCGGAGCCTTCGACATGAAGGTCTGATCCACAAGGCAGTGGAACATCATAAGGAGATGAAGTCCCATAGTAGCCGGTGACCAACAATTGGTTCACACGCCATTTGTTCCTTCAGGATACTGGACCCTATCAGCACCATTGATTTGGAACCAGGGTTTTCCACCTCCCCTAGGTGGACTCTCCATGTCCACCAACCCGGTCAAAGCACCGAACATTCGCTTTTCATCCTCTCAATCCCGTAAACAACACCCATGGTGCGAGAAGGCAGTGAGTAGGACTTCTCTGGTAGAGGCTATATACGCGTGGCCACAAAAATCATTGGGAAGATTCTCTTCTATATTGCAAATAAAACCACTACAAGATACAAGACAGTAAGATCTATAGCCATAATGTGATAGACTAAAGTATGGAATCAATTGACTTATTCATTACTGGTGTTCAATAATCGGTCATTTAGATACACCACTCATATAGTCTGTGAGGAGGAAGGAAACTGTTGTGATGCACGATGTCCAAAAGCTGATAATGATACGTACTCTTCATGTACACAAGCTCAGTTACCCTGAGAAAAAACACAAATGAGGAAGAAAGTTTATCTGTCTAAGCTGAATAGATGGTATATACAATCTCCTCAAAAATTAGGCATATTCCTTAGAAAGGAAAATCATTTCTCAACCAATCACATACTCCTAAATATTTGATGATTTTGAATTGATCTACTATATCAACAAATTTCATTGAAAAGCTTGCCTTATTCACTAAGCAATGAACTTACCATAGAGAAAATGTTCTAGATGAAATATCCAATTGTTCTCTTTCTTGTGAAGAATTGCCCAAAAATGTACCTTCAAGAAGAAGAAAAATAACCGAGAAAAATTAAATTGTAGCATACGACTGTAATCAACCCATGAAATGAGTTACATTAAACTGATATAATGAGTAGATGAGTGTTTCAACGGAGGCTATTCACAGAGATGATGCAGAATGACTGTAAATTTAATGAACTGATGAAAACACGGAATAATTTCTTATACTATTCGATATTTGATTCACTATCTCTGTCATTCATAATCAACTGAAGTCGAGGAAATGTAGTTTGTTCATATGATCAAACTATAACCAAACATTTGGAAATCCCTAACAAGTAGAAACTGTCAGTGATATTTTGAATAATTCAAACATAGATGAGACATTTAAAGTAATCAGTCCATTTGATAAATTTCGATAGTGTAATAAGAAAACGAAGATACATGAGACGAATATATTTATTGTCACAATTGAGAAGTAGTTCAGAATAAATAAAATTGATGAACCTTCAGTTTCAGAAGGGGTTTTGTGGAGATTGTAGTAAATTCAATAATTAAGATCATGAGTCGATTGAAGTTAGACCACTATGGAAAACCTAGAGTCACTGAACGGCCGCTTCGTCCTGTTGTGGGACTCCTCAAAAGTGCGCATCCACGACCCTGCCCGTGGGACTCGAACCCAGGACCTAGCGGTCTCGCGCGCGAACGCTTAATCACCGGGCCACTGAGCCGGCCGGCATCCAGCGGTGTTAATGTCTAGCTTCAACTAATCCACTAAACGTCAGTTGTTGTTATTTACAATCCCTCTATTGTTATTTCATATTGTATCATCTTGACATGCATGTTGTTCTCTTTCATGACTACTTTGTATTTCGGGAACAAAAACTTTAAATCAGCTAACTTAACTGAGTAGCGAGAGGCTTTCCTTATAAACTGTGATCAAATTTTTAAAACTTTTATGGCTCGATTACGCATATTTATTGACTGAACTATAGAAATATCAACTTTCAATGGTTAGTAGCTGAAGTAGTGATAAGTTGGCAATAAGAAGACGAACTCACATTCTCTCTAACTTGGTGTAACATTTTATGATATTTACAATTGATTGGTCACTGGGTAGTGATCAATGTCATGTGTGTGCAGATCGAATACTATGGGCAAAATGTGGCCACTAGTCTAGGTGACTCGACATCACGTGCACTATTTTGAGGCGAGATGGTGGGTTTACTGTCGAATAACTCTAACCACGATCTCATTTTATGATACTAATTTTGTTCCCAAAGACAATGAAAGTGGATAGGTCATACATTGCAAAAATCACCAAACTGCATCACGAAGCAAGCCCTAACTTGGAATCCGGAAGGGAAACATAAAAGAAAACGACCAAAGAACCCACTGGGCCGAGAATTCGAAGCAGACATCAAAAGGATGAATAGCAACTAAAAATAACTGGAAAGGATTGCTTAGAACAGAGTTAGATATGAAATGCTGACGGAAGACCTATCCTTATCCACGAGGGGTAACAGGAGTAAATCAGTAGTAAGAAAAGTAACTGCTGGGAACTATTTGTGAACTGTTATTACATATATTTTTATTAGATAGCTATTCACTAACCAGATTATATGTATATTTATATTCCTTTTATGATAAACTTGACTACTATTATACGATTTACCATTCTTAAGTTATTCCCGATCTATTAGTTACAGTCTTTACACTCACAGCCCCTTTTTGGTTTGATCTTATACAATAACTTTTTATTCTATGGTGCGATGAGGTATGATCTGCTTATATATACAGTGAGTATTTCTGAAATATAGGATTTACATACCGAAGGATGATATCTGTTTTCTGGATTCAATGGACAGGGCTATGCGAGAAGCTACTATGTTGAGGACCAATAAGGATTCAGAGTCGATACAAAGCTGCTAGTACTGGTTGACATGTCATTGGTTTAACACAAGAACAGTGTCATATAAGTCGGTATTCTGATTGCTGATTTTGTCACGTGATAATTGGTAGGGGTAAAAGTCATAACAACACTATTATGTATTGTGTGTAAATGTTGTTCACTGTGATAGATGTGAACATTTGGCGACATGTGTTTTGAGAGCCAGTAAAACTTCACTTGTATTCCCGTTTCCAAGTATAAACAGTAGAACCGCGGATACAAAAAGAACCAATAGGTAGATAAACTAGTTGACGCTAGATATAACATATAGACGAATAATCAAGGTCCGACTGAATCAAGGTGACGAGCGTATTTGCGTACACTGTGATTAATCATCATTTCCTTAGATATTTTCATATATAGGAAAAATATTAGTTCAGATCATGTAGATCAAAATCAGGTGATGGAACTTGTAGTTAATTATATTATTTGCACTGACATTTATATACACCGGGTGTACATAATACCTAAGATTGAAAAGACCAAAGATCATGTTCATCATCTGAGGTTCAACTAAACATAATCCATTAAAACATATTAAACCTAAAATAACTTTACCAATAAAATAATCAATTCTTACAAGGTGTTATTATTATTATTTGAACACATAAATATTGGTACAAGACGGCACCAAATATATATGCGCCACATCATATTTGTGTGTAGGCTGTGATACTGCCCGGGTGCCCAGACCGAAACAGGTGGTTTTATTAGGGGGCCACACCCTGAGCATTTGACCTAAAGGTCTAATCCACAAGGCAGTGGAGCATCGTGAGGAGATGCGGTTCCATGGTAGCCGGTGACCAACGATTGGTTCATACGCCATTTGTTTCTTCAGGATACTGTAGCCCATGTGCACCATTGGTTTGGGATCCAGTTAAAGCACCCAAATGCCCTGGTATGGCCGAGAGTGGGGTGGGCCTTCCCTCCCTCTTGAAATGCTCTCACACGGCCACGCGTATACAGCCCCTGCCAGGGAAGTCCTACTCACTGCCTTTTCGTGGCGAGGATGCTGTTTACGAAAATGAGGACGAAAAGCGAATTATTACAACGAATACATCAACAATAATAATAATGTAACTAATACTCACCATATTCAGAGAAATAAGCATGTTTTGCAATAATACAAAGCAGTTCATCAGTGAATTCAAATGAATTCGGATATTGACGAAGTAACTAAAGAAAAACAAAATGAGAAAAAAAGAGTCAGTAAATGAGTATATAACAATAACATTATTCATCATAAGGAAACAGAAGATAGTTTGATTAGAATGACATATCTCATTTAACATATACTTAACTAGTCAGTCAGTCAGCTACAACGTAGGACCAGGCACATATATGCATCGGTCCAAGTTGCCATACCTCATTAACACAACAAGACGAACACCGGATTCATAAAAGTAGTTAACTCAATGGTGGTAATATATAAAAGAAAGATTGCAACAAGGATATAGTACAGGAAGAAAGAATTAGTTCGTAGAAAGAAAGATATGAAGCGATTTTAATCTCTCAGTTTAAGGGAAGACAGAGAGTGTATACACTGACGCCATTGTGATCGAATCTGAGCCATGTCACCAAGAGTCTCCAACCATTGGTTACGATAGTCACGCGGACTCCAACCAAGTAGTCTGCATCTCATAATTAACCAGTATAAAGGTTGATAGAAACCCACTCATCACGTACAGATTCATAGGATTTGGCTTGAAGTTACAATCTAAATATGAGGACTAGTGATACTACACGAATTTTCAAACCGAAATATTTGTTTATTTAAACACATAAACATTGGTATGAGAATGCACCAAATATATATGTACCACACTTTATCATTCAATTTATGTGAGGGCTGGAATATTGTCCGGGCGCCCAAATCGAAACAAGGGATTTTCTTAGGGGGCTACAGTCGGAGCCTTTGACTTAAAGGTCTAATCCACAAGGCAGTAGATTAATGTTAGGAGATGCAGTCCCAATTGTTGCTAAGTTTTTAACATTAGACACAAGTATCAATTGTCATTTACTCTATCATATGTTTTAATCACCTTTTATGTTATTAATAGAGGAATTCTTTCTCTTTCCAAACATATACACGAGTTAATTACTTCAGATATCTCACAAGTTCAAGTTAGTAACTAATTTATGCATTATACCTTAATAATAGAACCATTTATTTTAGATAATTGTTGTTTCTTTTTTAACTTTGGTTTCACATGTATCTTAATCCTATAATTGAATGCTTCGATAGAATTAACAAATAAGATTGAGTTAAGACTAGATTTAGAATTGGGGATAAAATTATGATTAAAAGTAAGAGTTACTGGTGCAACACATAGAACAAATTCAATTTTACTAAAAAATCTTTTCAAAATAAAAAAAAACGCACCTACTTGCCAAACACAATCCAAAAATAGAATAAACACTGGACTCTCATCTTTTGGTGGTTTAAGAGAGAAAGCGGAATTTTGACAACGATCTGCAAATGGATGTCCGGCGTTTAACCATGTATGGTCGATAAGTTCTTGAAATCTAAATAGTTGTGAACGCAACAAGATTAAACGAAAAAAGATGACAGTTAATCAAAATGAATTAGTATTTGAAGTTTCATATCATGAACCAGCCTTCATTAGACCTTAAATAAAAAGCAGGAAGTATTAGATACCTGCTACATCCTAGTACGGGACTAATCAGTAATGTGTATCCACGATCTCACAAGGATTCAAATGATAGTCACGTAATATCATGAATATACTTAAGTTAAAAATGTAAACCAATAAATGACGACTAAGTGATCTGGAGGTTAAGCGACTCCACTAGTCTTGACGATCCTAGGTCCGACCCCTGGTGAGATCAAAGAGTCAGTCGCGTACTAAGAAGAAACAGGTGTCTAGTGCACTCAGGTTTTCAGTTGATTGTCTTAATCTCAGCATCATAAATCCATGTGGTATACTTTAGTTATTTCATCCTTAGTGGTGGTCACCAAAGACTCCCAAAACGAACAAACCTACAATATTCATGTCTCATGGTTAGAACATTAAGTCATACAGATGCATTAGTCATATGTGCTGTAGAACCTAGAACATCGCGTCGGTGATTTCATGGTAGAATGCTCGCCAACCACGCGGGCGTTCCAGGTATACAGCCACTGCCAGTAAAGTCCTACCCACTGATTTCTCGCACCACGGGTGTCGTTTACGAAATTGAGAAGACGAAAAGCGAATATCCGGCGCTTTAACTGGGTTGGAGGACACAGAGTCCACTTGGAAAATTTTAAATCCCTGATTCCAAGCCAATGGTGTACATGGGGTCCAGTATCCTGAAGGAATAAATGGCATACGAACCGATCATTGGTCATAGGCTACCATGGGACTGCGTCACCTGACATTGTTTCACTGCCTTGTAGATCAGACCCTTAGGTCGAAGGCTCCAGGTGAGGCCCCTTAAGAGAACCACCTGTTTCGGTCTGGGCACCCTGGCAGTATCAAGTGACTTGTGTGGTACATATGTATTGGATGCCCCTTTGTACCAATATTTATGTGTTCAAATAAATAATAAAATAAAATAAACCTACAATATTTGTACATTGGTTCAAGTTAACATACTTCATTGGCTCAACGAAACGAAACTGTTAGTGCAAATTTCAAAATAGCGATAACTGGAAGATATTATCAATAACTATTATAATCCACCACGATTGTAACCGAATTTATGTGTATCAAGAATGTTTCCTTCAACAGAAACTGATCATTAATCGTTTAACGCAGAAAAAAGTGTTTCTCCTTGAGAAACAGTGGACAGACAACCAATAGTTGATTTATACTACTTGTTTGTAAGAGATTGAGTCTTCCCGTTAATGATGCTAGGAGTTATATTTTGATTATTCTTTTTTTCTTATACACGTATCCTGGGTGAATTACCTCGATATTAGCATTAAGTTATGTTTTTATATAAAGTTGGGAAATGGTTAGCAGTAAACTCCGGGTCGCGTTTCGTCCTAATAAGGACCTGTCAGTTGGACGTATGGACATCCCAGTTCCGATGAATATATCAGGACTCGAACCCATTACCTTTTGTTTCAAACGTCCATCGCATTATCCGGGGAGCTACTACTAAGGCTTGTGCAACGAGGGTTGAGCTTATCAATAGTTGATTTTTTTTAGGAAAGCTGTAATTTTATCCCGCCAATTACAATCCGATATTTCCCATTAATTGATGAAAAACCAAAGATCTAAAAAACTACTGTCCAACTATCTCTAACTCAAAGAAAATACAGTGAATGGATTTTCACAAACAACTTTTACATAAAATAACTGACGTTTTGTACTGAACAGATACTTCAACTTCTCGAGACTGTTTTGATATGAATGCCACTACTAATTTATGTTATGAGTAGGAAGAATGAAACTTGTATATACTGAACTGAAAATTAATGTAAACTAGGGATAGTGAATTATTTTCAGCTGTTACAATTCACAGAGAATAGTATAAACTGAAAATTATACTGTAAACAGTACTACGAGAAAAACCCCTCCAAACAAGCTAACCCCAATTACCCCTGTATAGTTCTAGACTCAGGATTTAATATGATTTGAATCAAACTAGCCACGAGAATAGCTCGATCAGTTCCTTTTCGACTTTGCACTAATACACATGATCCACGTAATTTTGCCTCTTCGAAACTTTGCTCCTTTGATGCTCTTCTCTGTTTTTCAGCTAACAAACATTGTTCTTGTTGAAGTTGTTGTTGAGCGAATGCATCCAAAGCGTCCAAAGCTGTTGCTCCAGCAACAGCAGCTGCTAACGCTTCACGAACTAATGATAACCAAGCTGAAAGTTTTTTTGATTTCTTTATATTATTATTACTACTTAAATCAGATTCAGTAGTTGAATTAGTAGACTGAATATCTAATTGAGCGAAATTCGAGATCAATTCATTTTTACTCGATGTATTTATTTGTTCACGAACAGTGATATCATTAAATGAATTGACTGAATTGTCACATGGGATCGATGCAGCCGTGGAGTTACGTGATCCAAAACTTCCTACTGGATTCAATGCAGCACTGGACAACATTCCAATAGAATCACTAATTCCGGATTGAAGTGCACCAAATGTTGTGTTGCTTGAAGATCGAGTTACACGACCATATGATGTACAAGCTTTTATTGATTAGAATAAAACAGAATAGTTTAAACACTATCAAGGTGTTTTATAACTCTAAAAACTATGATAATACTTTGAGATTGGTCAATAAAGATGGCATGTGTTGTTCACACGCTTAACAAACAACAATATTTCGTTCAATGTATATTGATTTCTGGGATATAACATATGTCTTAAAAGGTAAAAATAGTTCATGACTAAGGAGAACATCTAACCGTGGTCAGTTGTACAAGCAAAATAGAGACTAGAAAATTTTATCGATTATTTCGGTTGGGACATTTGTTATATTTCCCTATGAATACCGAAGAATTGCGTAGGCTGTAGGATTTTTTAATCATTATTGTCTTAGAAACTATGCTCGCGAATCATCGAAGAACTGCATTAGCAATGCTGAAGTTGTGTATAGAGTACTAGGCAAACAAATAAGTTTGCTTATGAGGTTGTGAATTTATATCAACCGTGGTTGGGACATGTTATAGATATCCCCAACCACCGCCTACCTCGACGAATGATGTTGTCTGGTATAGGAATAGATAGGGAAAAAGCTATTAGGTGAACAAACTAAAATGTGACATCAGTCCACGAAGTCGTTGACAGTTGATCTGAATCATATAGGTATGTGCAGACTACCTGGTAGTGACCTGTGTGATGATCTCGATTATTAATTAGCGACGTTTGGTGACACGGCTGAAAATCAGTAACAGTGGGGCAGATGAATGCACTCTTTATCTTCCTCTGAATCTTCAGCCTAAGTATTCTTCATGCATATCGCTTCATTTCGCCTCGTAGAATAATGTTCTCAACGTTAATTGTTTTTTATTATCCTAGCAGTAGTAGAGTAGTACGGTTGTCAAGTCCAAAATTTTATAGAGCGTTAGTTAAACGTAAGCTAAGTCGTCACAATTATTCCCAGACAGAATCAGCAAAACGACTATTTGCCAAGGAAGAAAAAATTAATGGTCAAAACACATAGAAATACATAAACGAACTAAAAAAACACCTTACCATAAATGAATTTCCTGAAAGTGACAATCAAGTTACCCGTAGATTCTAACGGTCTACAAACTCGTCTCCATTGTGGATAATATTGTTCAAATTCAACAAGACCACCTGAGAAGGAGAAAAAGGGTTAAAAGAGGTTAGTGTTAATTGGATTTTATTTCATTGTCAATAATGCAAATTTCTAACATGAAAAACTAACGAACAAATTGAATGGTTGATAGATCTGTGGAGATTAGTTTAATTTATAGGTTGTTATTCATCACTGATGCAGAAGCTGCTGATACACTATTTGTTGATGTGCATGGGATAGAAGGGTCAGGTCATCTGAAAACTCCAAATCGTCTAATTGATTTAGAACTATCCTTGTTATTCCTTGCTTTCCTTCAGATGTCGAGGCCTCCATAATCCATTCAACCACCAGAAGGAAGAGAAAGGAAGAGAGTAAGCAGTCTTGTCTGTCTCCGGTCTGTTATGACCTTGGGTGTCTAGTTTTTCTGTCACACGACTTATCTACCAATCGAATACGACTTATACGAATCTTCACACTAGGCCAACCAATGACGTTCAACCGGTGTGGGCAGTTTAGCGTCCTTATTGGTCCTATGTCCTACGAGCCCTTCCACTTGAGTCCAGAACAAAATACCAGCTTCCGAATCAGAGCAGATCAGACCAGATCATTTATTTCAGACATACTTGGTTTATATATCAATCAGACAAACCGCAACGTACCATAAAATAGGAAATAATATTTGTACACAAATAAGCCCAAAAAGTGGCTGTGAATGTGGGAGGCATTAGTTAATAAACTGAACATAACTTAAGAAGCGTAAATCGTACAATAATAAAGTATAGGTCAAAATAAAGCTTATCATAAAAGGAATACAAATATACATAGTGTAATTGTTGAGTAGTTATACAATAAGAATATTTATAGAATATTAGTCCATGAATAGACCTTGGAAGTTACCTGTAATTTAATCTTCACTAGGATATAACACGGTCCTCACTTGGAATGCATCTGTCAGCTGTCCTCCATGCACGACGTCGTAGTCTAGTCCGTCGTATAAATTCCGAATGATCATGACGATCTTCTTATGAACTGCTTAGTGTCGAAGAAGTTTCCATATTCTTCTACTCACACTGCCAAATGCTTTCTCATGGTCAATGAGATTGAAGTATGGTAACGAGTTCCAGTGAATTGATTATTTAACGATGATCCGTAGTGTCGCAATTCGGTCTGTGCATGACCGATCCTTACGGAATCCAGCCTATTAGTCTCGAAGTTGGACGTCTGCTGAGTATTGTGATACCTCTGTGGTTCTCACATTTGCTCAGATCTTTCTTTTGTATCTTGATGAGGTATTCTTTTTTCAGGTCTGTCTGCATTTGTACCTCCCTCCAAACCTTCTTGAAGAGTGTAGAGCATGTTTGCTGTTACTTCTATGTCTGACTTTAGTGCTTCAGCTGGTATATTGTCAGGTCCTGCTCTTTCCCCATTCGTCATTTGTTTGATGGTCATCCTGGTTTCCTGGATTGTTGGTGGAGTGACATCTATAGGAAAGTCTGTGTGTGCTGCTTCGATATCCGGTGGATTTATTAGAGCTGGTCTATTCAAGAGTTCATCAAATTGTTCTACCCATCTGTTCTTGTCCTTGAATTTCAGTGATTGGCTTGCCCTCTTTGTACTCAAAAGATCTCGCTGGTTTACTATATTTCCCTACCAGTTTCTTCTTCGTGTCATTAGTTATTTCATATTTCCTTCACTTGCAGCTTCTTCCGCTATCGTTGCTCTTTCACGTATTTCCGCTTGTCGGCTTTAATGCTCTTCCTCTGCTTCTTTGCTTCTGTGTATTTAGATTGTGCTTTGATTTTCTCTGTTATTGTTCGGCTGTTATTAATTGCTGTCTTCTTGTTCTCCCTTTCTTGAATCTTGTCCAGGGTTTCGATAGAGATCCATTCCGTATGATGACGCTTGTTGCGGCCCAGCACCTCCTGACACGTTGAAGTAAATGCCTCTTTATCCCTCTCTAGTAGTCTTCCATAGAAGTTTCTTCTTCTTTGAGTAGATCTTGTAATTCTTAGAACCTGTTGTTGAGAGTTATCTTGAATTCGTCGACCTTATCAGTATTTCGAAGGAAGACTGTATTGGAAGTTTTTAATGCTGTTTCTCTAGTTGTCGAATGTTTCTTTAGCTTCAGTTTCGTCTAGGTCACAACCAGGTGACAATCTGAAGCTATATCAGCTCCTTTCCTGGTTCGCACGTCTTCCATTGACCTTGTGAATTGTTAATTATGCAAATTGTTGCCCTGGTTGTTAGAAGGGGCATCGGCCTCGTGACTTCCGAAGAATCCCGGCATTCATCATGAAGCGTCATAATTCTTCCTTCAACTCCCAGGGCAGAGTTTGAATGATTTAATCTGTTTAATCTGGTTGGAGTTTGTTAGCAAAATTTCTTCTACCGGATGGGGTTGACGACCCCATGTCCAACCCTCCTCCTTTACCTGGGCTTGGGACCAGCGGTAACTCTGGAAGAGCTACAGGCGGAGTTCTTTATAATTGAAGAAATATAATTTTATAATATTGTAATGGAAGAAAAAACTGAACGTATAACGTTTCACAACCTGACCTAATTAAAATTTCTCACAAAAATTACAGTTCTTTTTAATACAGTGATTAATAATTCATTTGTTCTGGCTGTCCATTGAAATCTGGCCAGTCTCTGTAAGAATATGGGTTTTTTGAACAATTGTCTAGATATTGTTTTGTCGTTACAAGTTTCTTTTCACTTCAATTTGAAAAAATCAGGTAGCCACACTCGAAGTGTGAGAGCTAATGATACTAGCCGGTTGCCCGAACCGAAATGGACAGAGCGTGGTCAAAACCCAGGACTTAACGACCGAAAGCTAAACACCTTTACCACTAAACCAACACATTGAGTTGTAGATAGTAGTGTATAACAATTTAGTGGTTCCTTAGAATCAGTAGTTTAATAGATAACACACTAGTACTTGAAGTGATACCCACCGAATTCAAGGCCTAATACAAACACCAACAATATTAGAAAGTAGATATGTTGGAGTGATGAGTACAGAATAAGACATTCTCGAGTCCGCTACATAAAAAATAAGCTCTAATTTAAATCTATAAAGAAATTTACTCTACTAACCAACAGTGTTAAAAAGACACATACGCGCCACACAAATCTCATTTGATTTGTGTGAGGGCTGTGATACTGCCCGGGTGCGCAAACCGAAGCAGGTGGTTTTCTTAGGGGGCCACTACCGAAGCCCCCGACCTGAAGGTCTGATCCACAAGGCAGTGGAGCATCGTAAGAAGATGCGGTCCCATGGAAGCCGGTGTCCAACAATTGGTTCATAAACCATTTGTTCCTTCAGGATAATGGAGCCCATGTGCACTATTGGCTTGGAATCAGGGTTTTCCAACTCCCGTAGGTGGACTCTCTGTGTCCACCAACCCGGTTAAAGCGCCGGTCGTCTTCTCAATTTCGTGAACAACACCAGTGAGTAGGACTTCCCCGGCATTTCGAGAGGGAAAGCGAACTCTCCCCACTCTCGGCCCTATCAGGGCATTTAGGGGTGTTAAAAAGATTAACAACGAACAAAATAATTGATAGATTGTGCCAGTCAAAAATCGACCAGATGACAAATGCACGTGATTGGTCAAGGAATGACTTTCATTTCTAAGGAATAAGATTCACCAATAATGGTTTAATTTTCTAAGGAACAAAGAGATATATCTATGGATGAGTATACATATATGCCCATTCAGTCTATTCAATAAACTTTCTCATTCTAAGTTGTTTTTTACTCGAATAACCGCTTGGGTTCATGTCAGTCAGTCAGCTACAACGTAGGACCAGGCACATATATGCATCGGTCCAAGTTGCCATACCTCATTATCACAACAAGACGAACACTGGATTCATAAAAGTAGTTAATTCAATGGTGGTAATATATAAAAGAAAGATTGCAATAAGGATATAGTACAGGAAGAAAGAACTAGTCCGTAGAAAGAAAGATATGAAGCGATTTTAATCTCTCAGTTTAAGGGAAGACAGAGAGTGTATACACCGACGCCATTGTGATCGATTCTGAGCCATGTCACCAAGAGTCTCCAACCATTGGTTACGATAGTCACGCGGACCCAAACCAAGTAGTCTGCATCTATCAACATGGCTCAGACTATAATTTATTGACTTCAAGCACTGATGCCACGTTTTGGTTTGGCCGCCCCTAATTCTCTTCCAACCATCTCCAGCAACGGTTAGCATTGCGCGTCGTGGTAATCGGTGTTCAGGCATACGTAACACGTGGCCCAACCATCTCAGTCGATGAAGATTTACAACCTCATCAACTGATTTACCATCATTCCCCAATACCCTGCGTCTAACCTCACTATTACTTACCCGGTGATCCCAGCAGACGCCAGCAATATTTCTAAGGCATCTGTGGTCAAATACTAGTAGCTTACGAGTGTCTTCTACTCTTAATGGCCATGTTTCGCTGCCGTAAAGTAGAAGAAAACGGACTGCCGCGCAGTATACTCGTCCTTTTATTGATAGACGGATATCTCGCCTTCGCCATAGGTGACGTAAGTTGGCAAAAGCCAAACGAGCTTTCTGAATCCGCGCTGAGATTTCGTCAGACACCAACCCATTAGGGCTGATCAGACTTCCAAGATAAGTGAAGTTGTCAACGCGTTCGACTACTTCACTCCCTATCCTTAGTTCAGGTGTTGACGCAGACCAGTCCTGAAGCAACAACTTGCATTTAGAGGGAGAGAAGCGCATTCCAAACATTCTGGCATTGTTGCTTAGTGCTACCAAAGACTCTGCATTTTATCAGCGTCTTCACCAAACAGGACTATATCATCTGCGTATTCTAAGTCGATAAGTGGACCTCCTGGAAGGAGATCAATACCCGAGAATTCAGTCGAAAGAGCGTTATTTCCATCAATAGGTCTATGATGAAGTTAAACAAAAATGGAGAAAGTGGACAGCCTTGACGGACACCACTTGAGGTTGCAAAAGCAGATGACAGTTCGCCATAAGCTCTGACTCGACTAGTAGTGTTCGAGTAAAGAGCCTTCACAAGGTTTATGTACTTCTGAGGTACGCCTTTCAATGACAGACACTGCCACAGAATCTCGCGGTCTACAGAGTCAAATGCTGCTTTTAAGTCAAGAAAGACCACCATTGTCGGACGCCGATAAGTATGCCTATGTTCTAGAACCTGACGAATGGTGAATATGTGGTCGATGCAGCCACGACCAGGTCTGAAGCCAGCTTGATTCTCTCGTGTTTGCAGTTCACGAGTCTTAGTTAGGCGTCTGATAATTATCGAGGCTAGTATTTTAGATACTATGTTAGTTAAACTAATCCCTCTATGGTTGTCACAGGATGATTTTAACCCTCTTTTATATATTGGGACGATAAGTGATTGTGACCAGTCAGATGGAATAACGTCTAACTCCCAGATCTTAGCTAAAATATTAGTCAACCTAATCGCTAAAATTGGACCACCATCCTTAAAGACCTCTGGAGCCAATCCATCTGGACCAGCTGCCCTTCCTCGTTTCAGATTAACTATAGCCTTTTGAACTTCTGCTAGAGTTGGGGGACCTACTTCAATGTTCCATTCACACTGTCTGGGAATGGAGGGTAGTTGTAGAGTAGCTGAAGGCCAGCTGAACTGTTCTCTGAAATGTTCCGCCCATCGTTCTAAACGTCTGGACTGAGAGCAGATGAGGGTCTTTTTCCGAAATAGTCTGACTTACACTTGACTTATTAATTCCAGTTTCTTTTATTAGTCTGTAAAGCTGTCTTGTGTTCCCTATAGCCGCCGCCTTTTCCATCTCTTTTGCTTTCGTTGCCCACCACTGCTCACGGTCGTTCCTTAGACTTCTTCTTAACCTAGATCTGATTTGTTGTCGCTCTTCATCGTGTTCAGAGCCTGATGGGATGAGTTTACGAGAATCCATCAGTGTGATAGACCTTGAAGAAATCCACTGGTTCCTTGTAACTCTGTGGTTTAAGTCACTAATAGATGTCACTGCTGTTTCCACAGCTGTTTGTATATCTTTCCAAGCAACATCTGGGTCAACCTCGTTTTCAGAACTACCTAATTGTGACCTCAGTTGTTCCTGGAACCTACTTTTGGTTTTCTTGCTACTCAATTCAGTTTTAATGGGTCTTTTTAGTGTGGCTTTTTTGCGTCCAGTGAGGCGCAAGCAGATGCGTGCCCGTATTTAGGCGTGTTCGGAGTCCAAGCAGGTACTCCAGAATGAGCGACATGTTCATGTATATAGTTTGACTGTGTAATAGTATCAACTCTTGAAAACTGCGTAATATCACAACAACAACAGCAACAACATAACTCACTTGTTGCTTGAGGTTTTTTTGTTTCATTCTGTGTTCTTAAATCCAGTATAACACCTCTACATTTATCTGGTAATATACAAGTAAGTAATTGTTCATCTGAACGACATCGACCAGTATTGAATGTTGAACTAAATGGTGATATAGAATTTTTCGAAGATGAATTAATAATTAGATTATTCGATTTTGTTGATGAAGTTAAACTAGAATTAGACGATGATAATAAAGTTGTAGTATTTTGATTGTTAGTAATTGTGGATTGATTAATTAATGGTTCAGCAGTTATTAATAAAGTAGTCTAAAAGATATATTAGAAAAAGAGGTAACAAGTGATTGGAATCAAGTATTAAAATCATTCAGTGGAACCGAACGTTTATATACAGATATATCACACATGCTAACGGAAAAAAATACAATTTATTATGGAAAATCAAAACTTTATGGACGGTTCTTTTAATAAATAAATTAAATGATCGATACTGTTAATTATGGACAATCATCAACCTACTACGAGAACGAAGGTCCTAGGTTTGATTTCCGCTTGTGGGGTTGTCAATGGGTACCGCTAGGGAGTCTCGTGTCAGGATGAAACGGTCATCGAGTACTGCCAAGTGATGGTTGTCTAACCTATGCCAGTTCATGATTTCAATCAGTGCTTCCAGGTTTTCCATGGTGGTCTAGCTTCAATCGACTCATGATTTCAACTTGTGAAATTTCTAAAAATCTCCACAAAACCCATTCTGATAATAATAATCACCTGCTCACTAGTGACTGACTTCAGGAGATACTTATGGAGTTCTAGTGAGAAGTCGTTACCAGTGGAGTTGAACCAGGTCTGTTGTGAGATAGGAACTCACTGAAGACAATGGTGTACGGTGGCGCAACTTCGTGGATTGGTTGAAGTTAGACATTAACACCGTTGGATGCCGGCCGGCTCAGTGGTCTAATGGTTAAGTGCTCGCGCGCGAAACCAGTAGGTCCTGGGTTCGAGTCCTGCGGGGTGCGGGGTCGTGGATGCGCACTGCTGAGGAGTCCCATACTAGGACTGAACGGCTGTCTAGTGTTTCCAGGTTTTCCATGGTGGTCTAGCTTCAACTGACTCATGATTTCAACTTGTGAGAATATTTTAAGTTGAGAAAAATTTACGAAAATCTCCCAAGAGTTGTTGAAACTGTACTGAAAGCTGAGTAAAATTGGACGTCTCTCAAAAATCCGTTTTTTTTTCTGGAATATTCACTAGTGACGAATCATAGTTCAACGAGCATAATATCAAGATTGAATTTAGAAAACATTCAGAACAATAGAAACAGACAGAACAAGTGTATTGTCACAAACGAGAAGCATTCTGAAGAAGATTAGATTGAAGTACTCCAAATTTCATAGAAATGACCCCAACTTGGATGTTCATTGAATGAACTATGTAAGTGACAATAAGATACTTGAACTACTGACTGGGAGCTATACAAGAACGTACAGGTTGAAAAAAGACATCTACAAAAAATACTAAGTGTACTACTATAATAAGAATGATGAATGTTCGCTTATTTCAATGCTAAAACAGATCATTCGTTGACATTTCAAAGTTATATCATTGAATACTACCTAGAGGAATAACAACAAAAAAGGTTATATATAGCTTTGAATGAAGTCATATGACAAGTGGACTATACAAAGCACCCTGTAATGATGCAATTAACACATGAATGATAATGGAAAGTAAGTACTCTTATATCACGAGTTTATTAAAGACTAAAAAACAATCCTAACTAAAATTGAACTTTGTTCACGAAGACATTATAGATCCCAATAGTAGAGTTAAGACACTGGAACTATACATTAAGCAATCCTATAATAAACTGTACGAAATATAAAATGTGACCTCGTGACAGATACAAGGAGAAGTAGACTGGTGAACGAATCACTTGAACCAGTTCACCGAAAACCCAAATTACTTCACTTATTTCGGTTTATGGAAGCAGTGAGTAGTATCTCTATAGGTTTTCAACATACAACAACAATGGGGATCAAGCCGAATACCTAGAAAAAAGAAATTCATACTTAATAAATGAATTATAACACAAAGTTACACTAACAAAAAATGAAAATGTCTACATAATTGGCTCATACTTGTCTTGGCTTATGATAGTATACCAGTAAAGGAAAACGACCACCATGACGAAATAGGCTACTTTCTTTAATCATTTGATCATCACATTTAACAGGTACAACAAATGTTTTCGGATAAGAATTGCACAACTAGAACGGGAAAGATGAATAAAATGAATGCAAAGCGGTCATGGAAACAATAATGTATTTAGTTCGTATCACAAACAAACTTTAAATAGAGCATTAATGAAAACCATGAAGCACTGAATGACTGTTTCGTCACACGATTGGACTCTTCAGTAGTGCACGTAAGCAACCGTCGACGAATCAAACTTTCTGGCTTCCGGTAGGATGCCTAATCTTTAGACTATTGAGTTATCAGGCAATGGTTCACATTAGTAACTGCATTGCCCGACTGCAGATGCTAGCTTGACGAAGTGGTCAGGCCCGTCTATCGTAACAACACAATCGAACTATATTGCTTGAGATGACTGTTTTTTTAAGCCCAACCATTCCAGGTAGGTCAATGGGGAAGCAGTGAGAATAGAAGTAACAAAGGCCTAAGAACGAGGTCGTACTGTCGTTTGGACAGGGATGTAATAGAAGTAAGGTGTTCATCCAGACAACCAGCATCTGAAATGATACTGCCTTCTCACTCACAGAGTAAAAATGGGTTAGAAAAGGTTTATTCCAAGGACAGCATACCTTACTCTTTGCCCCATGGACTCCCGCTGCCAACACCAAGGGCTGTAAGTAAAGAGCTAGCTTACCTAAGACTATTCACAAAAAAGATGCGTGTGGTTGGGCCCGAACGGTTGTCTCTTGAACTTCTTGGTCACGACACCGAATTGTCAAGAACACTACTAATCCAGTTTCTTTTTAGGTCCCTCAAATTGAATGTCAATACAATATTCGACTCCTAGCCAGTCAGTCGTAGCTAACGTAAAGCCTAAGTCGTTGAGTTTCGTACAGACTCTACCAATCAGCCACTCACTGGAAAAATAACTCCCTACAGAGCATTCAGCTAAGCACAAAAAACTGTCCTAATACTGTACATATAATACAATATTAAGAAAGTACTTCACGGTAAGATGTACTACAAATTAAACAAAATACTACTTACTAAATAATTCTCATTTAATTGGCTTCTACGCCAACTCCCACCAGACAAGATCTCGTTGATATTATTAGGCCAATCACTGGTTTTTATTGCGGGTAAAAGTGATAATTGGTTGGATTTATAAGAGAATGGGTAAAGCAATGTTACGTCATCTACCAGAAAAAATATAAGGGATAGGAAACCTTTAAAAACATTTACAGATTGATCTAAGATGGTAGATGGAGATAGTCAACATTAAAAAATATCTGCAATCACAAATCCACTTGTTCAACATATACAACAATCAACAACAATCATTTAAGCCGCAGTGAAACAATCTTCAACTACTGATAATCGTTATAATCTCCACTTATACGACCTAGCTATTCTTATCTCTAGCGCTGATTAGCTAAGAGATGGACAATCAGCGTGCCCCAACATAATCCTACACGGAACGTGTTTTAATTAAGTCTATATTTTGCTGGCAATAATCGAGATTGATAAGCAGTAATTTAAAAGCAACGAATCCAATTATAGATATATCAGGAGGACTACTAAGATCCGATAGCACCACAGTGCAAACAATACCGAGGTTCAGTAACGTGTTCAAGTGAAGTAAAGATAATTTAACTGATGTCACGGAAAGATCGTCGTATTATGAAATAAGATAGTTGTATAAGACTAAGTTCATAAAAAATCCCTGGTTCCAGTGGTAGAGCTTAAAACATTATCACTTCACTACAGTTTTCTATTACATTCTTCGTAGAATAATTTGGACTTCCTTAACAGAATAACATCTGTTTTGGTATCTTGTGGCATGCTAACAGGTACAGACTACCTAGTTGGGGTCAGCTTGATCAATGCAATCAATCGTTGAAGATGTTAGGTTATATGGCTCAGAATCTGTCACAATAGCTAAGATGTAGTCATTTTTAGTACTACTACTACCATTACTAGTAATTCTACTACCCAAACATTTTTTTCGCAATTTTATCTTGCTGTCCTGATATGATGAGGCAAGTTGAACCACTACATATATGCGGCAGATTATAGGTGTCGTACGATTAACTGTTTCGTTCATTACACGTAATTTATATTCATTTATAAGTTAATATGGTTTCGTTCCATCTTTCTGTGTTTTGTTCAACCAATAGTTTGATAAGCTATAAATGAAATAAAATAAAACACATAGAGCTAAAGAAAAATTCAGAAAGAACTGTTCATAAAAACACAAGTAGTTGAGGTTATAAATAAGATGCAAAATACTTACCAATTGAGGATACTCCCTCTAATGACTGTTCAAGAGAACGAGCAACGGAAAGACTGTTAACAGTTAATTCATAAATATGAAAATCTTTTGTATACAAAACAATCGTATATCCAGTTAGTACGGATGGTGTGAATCGACGTTCAGTAGGTGATTCGCACAAGCGAAACCCGTCAATTGCTCTGTACATAATCTTTACGAAATAAAAGAAAATTATAGACAAGTCAAAAGATAATGAGAAGTAATTACTTCGAGAAGAAGGATAAATCATGTAAACAATGGACTATAGAACATAATTCAGATCATAGGCGTATATTATGCTAGAGTTTACCGATTTCAATTCACTGTATAGAAATCATTCGACGCAGACAACGCTTTGCAGACATATATAATCAAGTACCGAGTGTCACCTACCTATAAAGGTCATTTTTCACAGCCACAAAGCAATGGATGGACTTCATATCAGAATACCCACTCTTTGGTCGACGGACAAACACATCATCTACATCATAGGTAACACGTTTACAAAACCCAAATAAGGTAGAACAACAGTACCGAGAATTCATCGGCCTCCAAGGTCTGTTAGACTTACAAGATAAGTCAAATGGTTATGTTCAATAGTTCACCCTCCTACTGTCAAAGCACGCAATGATACACACTAGCCTTGGACGATATTTTGCACTTAAAGAGAAAAACTTACATGGAGACGACTCTAACGACAACTGCGATATATAACAACTCTACTAACCATAGTCCTCCGGAGACCTGAAAGATTAATCTTGTTTAGATTTATTGAACGAAACTAAAGAATGGTTGAATTTACATTCAAGTTAAATCAGTTATACATCAATTGAGTGATAACTAATTACACAGTTTTATTAACTGAGTAATTGCCAGTACATACAAATCTATAATGAAGTGCCCAGTACAAGGAAAATGCATTGAAAATCAAGTAACTTAATAAAACTGACATACAATGAAAATTAATGACAAGAATTCATGAAAATGTGTTGAGTTTACCGAGTGAAAATTGCCTTAAGATAAGTTTTCTTCTGCACACGTATTTGGTTATACATTATCTTTTGTTTTTGTATGAAGTCATTTGGCATCGAATGCCGTCTTCTTCACCGAAAATCTGGCTCTGGTGTTCATGATGCTTTAATTTCTTCATGAGTGTTGGGCAAAATATCTAGTTGCATTCTTATAGTAGTAGTGGAATTAGGAGTAGTTCTTCTACATAACTGATTTAAAATATCGAATTCATTTGCCTTTTCCTACAGACGACTCATATAACACCCCCTATCTTTTCGTTATGTCTCATTCTATCTATCGGTGAAGATTAGTCCGACAATCCTGTACAAACACTGAGGTCCTAATTTGGAATTCTGGGGTATATGCTTTACTTTCAGACGATCTCCGTGACGGCATAACATGGTAGGTTGTTCTAACCACGGGTCCTAAGTAAAGCAGGAATAATCCACATCCCTTTATTTTTCAGAGACATCATCTAAGATGCAACACACTTCGTTGAGATTTTGAAGCACTACGTTCAGAGCGAAGTGGCATGGATTTACCAATGGCTATAATAATTTTATCCATATATTCAAGGTTCTTATTGGATAGCTCTACACATTAATTAATTAGTTTCTTCACTACATTAGTAACCCGAGGTAGTGATGACATGACTACTGATGAGTCTCAGTTCAACATTGGTACATATTCTCAGAGTACTCCAATAATCTTTATGTAAATCAAGTGCCGATTCTAAAACATCCAAAACACAACCAGAATGTCTGACAGTCAGATGGTCACTCATCATTAATTTCATCAAAATGATGTTAATTAAAGCCTATTAGAAGTGGAACTGATGTCGAGTAAATTATGTGTGAAATTGTTTTTAGTCCTAAAGGTTCATTAAACTGCATGACATTTCATTAACTTTTGTAACTGTCGTATCCGACTTGTCTGCCAAAGTACGGCTGACGACGTCCATCTCTAAAAAAATGCAACAGTCGATAGCGTGTCTAACAATCTGCGTGCAGGATTATCGCAGTTCCACTTCTCTCTGCCAACTGAAGAGGAACTAGAAGGGTTGAAGATATAACTTCAACAAGACTGTTAGTTCAAAGAAATCGTTATTCTACTTCAAAATTAAACTGGGGAAAATTATTCCCCATAATGACAACAGGGATGCAAGACCTAGAGGTAGATATTTATGAAATTTCTTATGCTGAAATCGAAAAGTATTAACACCAACATTCTTACTAAAATCTGTCCTATTGAGACAAATAAGACGTAAGTGATAAAAGTCTATATGAAGTAGTATTTTGTTTGAAAAAAAGACATTATAAAAAATACAATTTTTTAAAATAAACTACAGATTTCCGTAGATAATCATGTTGATTACGACGGAAACGTGTGGCTTGGACGCTGGTTTAAACAATATTTTTGCAAACTGAAACTAAAATTTGTCTTAGTCAGTGTCATTCGGTACGAGATCCATTCCTGTAACAGGTTAACTGAATACAAACGTTAATTTCTCCAGCGAAGTAGTTATTTGGTCTTAAAACTACTTAAAGCAGTTTCAGGTCAAAATTAGACTAGTTGGCGGAAGTGAAGCCAATTCGTGTAGATGTAGGTTAGAAGTAGACTGTCTTAAAATAATGAGGAGCAAATAACCTAGTGCAGATTTGAGTGGGAAGACCACTTGAGGTAAACAAGTGATTTCGGATGTTTTTAACCAGAAGTAATTGTAGGGAAATTCTCACTGTCTGCCAGAGCAGGTGATGAAGGCAACATTCTGGAGCATTTTCTCTCAGATTCGCATAAAAAATTTTTATAGAATGTCGTTCCTATTTGCTTGGGTGAGGTTGAAAAATATTTTTCATACAACCAGATCAAACTTTTACAGAAAGTTTTGTCATTACAGTGTATGGTGTTTAGTTCGACATAAACAAGTAATGATTCAACCTTAATAAAACATGTTTCAGTCTCTCACTTCAACACTTGAAACGCTAACTTACCATAACGTCGGAATCGCGCAACTGAAATGTGAGGTGGTGTGGACCGAATGTTAGTCGTTTGGATCCTAGAGACTGAGTTGCTGTAAACACACGCACATCCTCGAAACTAAGCATAGTGAGACACGCTTAAGTAACCTTGGGAAATCGATTCACTCGCGTGCTGAAATCCAGTATCCAATATCTCGAGATTGTATGTACCGATTGATTTCTTTACGACTGTTTTTCTGTTGCATTAGTACAGATCAAATTTCTTTTTTATTATCCAATGATCAGAATGCTAGCAACTACGTTGTGTTAATTGTAATCAGATTTCGTCTTCAGTCTTCACAAATATGAACAGGGTGGACATGTGATAATCTTCATAGTTTGCTTTCAAATGGAAATTCAGATTCTCCTTGAAAACGTTCACTGATCAGTATAATATCACTTGTAGGAGTATGACGTTCCATTCATTGACTAGGTGATTATAAAAAAGGAGCCCCACTCTGAGTTTATTAGGTTGCAGTTTTTGGATCTTCTTGCTATTGCGTCGTAGATTAGTATTGTTGAAGGGAGCAGGAAGACCATAGATATTAACACCATTAATCGTTATAGAAAGATGCCGAATGCCAAAGTAAGGTCATCTCGTTTTCTACGATATGATAGTTACTTTCTGGCTTCTATATTTCATAACAATCTATCACGATGCATTAAGGTTTCCAGAACCAATAGCCATCACATTGCTAGGCAAACGCGTGATCCACCTCAATTTAAAAAATAATAAGGTGATAACCCGAATGCTATGAGGAGACGATTTTTGTAAGCAGTAAGTACATAAATAAGTTAATTAATTGTTAAAGTGGACAGTATAAGGCGACAAAAATGTACGGACTTGAAATATAGAAATCAGGTGGGGAAAAAGTTGATGATATGTAGTGACCATGACAGTGGACAGGCTAGGAGAAATGGATCAGGTACTGCTAGCCCACGTGGGAGATGATAATACATATATGTCTTACAAGTCTCCTCTTGGAGCTAACTAATAAAAGCGGTGCAGTCACTTCGACCGGGGAAGATTTTCAGTTAGGAGCATTTAATGATCAGGAAAAGTAGGACAGTTCTGAGATTTTCCAAATGGAGTATCAGTTCGATTACTTCAACTTTTGAATACTTGGTGCATCTTGGAATTGTATCAGTTACATATACATAATTCATTCATTTTGTTGATCCGATTTTTAGGTCCGTGCGATTATTTGGTGTGTATGTGTTTAACGTTCTCTTTGTAATTTACTCCGCTTCGTAATAACTGCATCATGAGGCTTTCAACTAGGTAGTAAGTACTACAAAAGGACTACTAAAGACAAATAAGCTTGCTGAATTCTCGTGATCGTCAATTTCTGTCTCTCAGTATTTATGGGTTCTTTCAACCATTACCAGTTCATTTGTCGTTGGTGTATCTCAAAAACACTCGACACAGTCGCCCCAAGAAAAATTTAAGGTAATTCAAAACTCATTCATTTCACTTACTACTTCTTTTCTCGCTCTGTTTTACATATCAATTCGTCCTCCCATTTATCTCGTTTCGCAGAACGAATGGGTAGCTTAAGCCGGTATCTGTCAGAATAAAGGAGATAACTCTCATTTGACGATACTGGGCATGGCGGCTGATTGTATATTCCCATGTGCTCTCTCACCTGATCACTCGGAAGACTTTCGATGATAATGTTAGGAGCTGTTCAGCTCGCCTATCGCAGTTCGGATTCATCATGATTGCCATTCAGAGACTTAAAAAACAGCTCATTTCCCTCCACTCCTCAGCCTTGAAGTTCCACCGAATAGTGGAACAACTTAGGTACCAATATAAGTGCTGATGGTTATTCCTAACGCATTGTTAGAACCTTGTCATCTTTCCACAGAAAGTTAGACAGTCTCACACGAGCGTTAAGTCTCAGACAGTAGAACATCAGTGCTTATGCTTAGATAATTCGCATCACTTTCGTAAAATATACCATTACACTGATATATGTCTTAATCACAATAATAACATCCTTGTGCAGATACATATCCCCAGGAACACATGGGGTTTGTCCACATATACGTGTAAAATGGAAGCACAAATCTGGTAAATGGGTGACAAACACGGCTAGATTATAAATGTCAAAGCTACCAAAGATGGCTGTTTTACTATGATAATAAGGAGAAAGTCTACAAATACATGTCAGAGAGAGTATTATAATCCACTTTGCTTAATAAAAGTCACTACTAAACTGAGTACAAAACAAGAACTTCACATTTCGTGTAACACGAAGATACAGAACTAACTGAAACTTAAAACTTGAAATGGACTGAGAAATGCTCAATTTAAAGAGGACTGTGGTATTCTTATTGTTTTGATCATTTATTGCCCGTCAGTACTACAGTTGTCGTTTTAACTGAATTTATTTCAGTTGAATTATTCACCAACGGTATCGTTTTTTTCAAAAATAAGTTACCATCTGCATTCTTGAGTACATCGGTTTTTTTGTATTTGTTTGCACTTGTGGTTCTAACAATCTAGTTTTTCACTTTTTTCTGGTAATCAGTTCATTCTGTTTTTAGGTATTGTTCGTGTCTAGCTTCTTGTAGAAAGACTCTGATTATTTAACCGGACAATGCAAAACGGCAAATACCAAGGCTCATACTATTGATACCCTGTGGAAAGCGGCATTTGGTGTAATGAGTGCAAAAAATGATACTGCAAAGTTTGCATTAGTCTTGAAGTGTCATTGTGCCTTAACCACACAATCCCCAAAGCTGAATAGGAGACAACTGGGAAAATAGGCATTCAACCTTTAACGCGGAGAAAAATCCAACGATGGAGAAGGAGGGAAGAATGGATTAAATCAATTAGAATTGATCGGATGACATGACTTAACCTCACAGGCATGGTCGCTCGATACAACTCGCTGTTACTCATATTAAATAAATTGTTCTATCTCTAGCCAGAATTTGCTTACCATCATATATTAGTAATTGTTGCGACACGATGAGTCAGTGTAGAAAATCATGTGACTTCGGCGTAAGATCTTATAGATTAGACAGTTACATCATAACAAATCTGCAATTTTAGAACTAGGTCTATTATTGGAGCAGTTCTTATGTCATAGTAAACCATAATTCTACGGTCCAACGCCTTTGATTTCCAAGCGGTTTAGTAAAAACAGTTGCGTGTGGTTTTGTCAGCAATGCTGCCCGGATGCTAACAGCTTTATTTTCAAAGCCATAGCAGTCATGAATGCTGCTTAAAGAAGCATCGGCAAGCGCATTCGAGACATATCAAAAGGTGCTTGCTTGGTCAACACACAAATCACTGTGAAGTTACATCAAACAAGTCTATTGACATGCACAGGTCAACGGAGAAAAGACATAGAAGTGTGGGCGATAATGATCACGATTGGCTGTCTGCTTGGTCAGACATGTAGTTAGTCTGACAGGTGTCAGATGAGTTATATATTCCCCTGTCCTTATTATTATTATTATTACAACTCACTTATTATTGATTGTTCATTGTTGTTGGATTGTGTCGGGTTTTGGTGTGGAAATATATTTACATTGCGGTCAGGCTAATCACGTGTTCTTTATCTGAATTGTGTTGACGTCCTGTAGAATAGACACTGGGAGGGAATCTAGTGTAAATAATCGTTTAAAGTAAATTAACGTCTTATATGTGTAAACGTGGAAACCCAACCGTTATAACATTAGAAGAAGTAAAACCGAGCGCTATAACAGACAGCCTATGTAGAGGCCTGTTAGAAACAAAAGCCCAAGAAAGAAAGTCTTTCTTCTGTACCTGCCTTCAAAATTTCATAGAGAAGGAAACGCCTAAAAAACCTAGTATCAAAACTAGGCTTGCTTCCAGCACGACAAACAACAACCTTAAAACTCAAGTCATCAAGTATCATCCAGGATCCTACAGTGTGTGTGACGTGTCCGTGATTGCTACTCCAATCTAAGTTGATGAATAGGTGCAGACCAAGAAGAGAAAAAGACCTAATGTTGTGAAAGAAAAGCTAGTCCTCCAAACAGTGACTGAGAAACTCCCCACTGTAGTTCAGTAGGGAGGCCTGCACCCCAACCCGTAAGAGCAGAATGTGGGAGAGATTCAGGTTACTAGATAGTGACCAATATCAGAAAGCTCGAAATATTTCGACACTCCACAAGTCCAAAAAGACTTACGAAGAAAAACTTGTTAGAGAGTCTACAGGATACTCTGAACGCTTATACGCGTATATAAACCAAAGGGCTAAGAAAAGGGGAAATGTTCAATCATTATGCGGCGGCAGTAGCAATACATCACTAGTAGATAACAATAGTGGCAAAGCTCAATTATCCTCAAACTAGTTCTAACACCATTGGTTTTTTCATACACGTAGTTCCCTTTATTATCTTAAATAGAGCAAGAACAAAGATTGGTTTTGTTATGTACTGACGATGTCAAGATATGGAAAGCGATGAAAAGTAGAGGCAATAGTTTGGAGCTTTGAAATGACCTGAAAAAATTATCTGATAAGTCTTAGATCTGGAAGTTGCCCGTAGATGCTTCCAAATCCATTATGATGCATATTGGTCATCGAGGTGCAGATATACACGTTTAATCACAGTTTTCCAGACATACTGACTTAGAAGTCCTCATTAGCCAATACTTAGGAACTAATGCACATCGCCGTGCAACAGCCGCCAAAGGTTTTAGAATCTTGTGGTCCGTACGCACGGCCGTTACTCAAGCCTAGAACAAATTACTTGTCAGCTGATTATTGAACTTCCCATCGAACCATCGACAAATGGAATTCATTATTTCAACACGTGATTGAAGCTCCATTTGTCGACTCTTCCAAAAGAAAGTTGTATCAAGTGAGAGACCACCACTGCCAGGACTAGCATAGGCAAACTGACCTCCTGTCCTTTACAAAGTGTAACTGCTACGCAACACCTACTTAAGTTTAGCTCCAACACAAACCTAAGGGGTAGCACCCAGAAACTAGAGGCGGCACAGCAGTACGGTTTGCAGACACAACTTATACTCCTTAAGAGCATTCAAATGCTGGAATTCGCTGCCGGCTAAGCTAGTCCAAGTGACTTACCAGGATTTCTTTAAGTGGAAACTTGACCTATTATTAATGACTAAGGATAATATCTTACTATGATTTACCTA